TATTTGTACCAAAATACCAAAAGTGATTCTACAATTAAACTATCCTGCTCTAGTCTAATCAGCAGTTTGTCCAAGAAGAGTATTCTTTTATATTGCTCTATTGAATAGTGACTAGACAAACAGAAAGAGAAGTAATTTTAAAGTTAAAAAAATTTTTAGAAATGATTCTCCCACCCAAACATTGCAGTAGGAAATGCAATTTCAACATACATCTCTTCCAGAAAAAAATCTTCTTTTAAATTTTTGTAGAAAATGACTTTGGTACATAATCAGCACGAAGGCAAAATCTCCTACAAAAAGATTCAGGAATCCTCAACAATGAGATCCAAAAGTATTGGTCTGCAATAAAATCCTTCTATGAGGTAAAGGCAAGTAAGAAGTTCCTAGATGCTTATTTGCTCTCCCTAACATGATTCATTGTTGTCCTAAGGTGCAAATCTTACCACTCAGTGACCTCTATGCTGTTTGGCTGTTTATATCCTTTTTTAAATAAAATACCCTACAGGTTATATTATACATGTCAAAATCAAATATGAAAGCACATATATTCAAATGAGACAAACTAATTTACCTTATGCTCATAATGTGGAAATCTCAGGGTACTATTTGGTCATTTCAGTTAGATGCTGATACATCTGGTCAAGAATATCCACTTTCAGATCAGTTTCAGGCAAATGCTAAATATTTTTATTTTGATTTTAGGCAGAAAGATAGGCAGCATACATTATTGTGTGACACTCCCGGGATGCTCTCCGTTAGAACTTACACTGGTGACAGAAGTGTCCTCCTCATCTGGGTGATGACCTTAATGATGCAGGATAAACCTACACGGTCTGTAACTTGAAGCAGTAGTTAGCCTGGCGGCTGATGGTCATACGGGGCGTCTGTATCAGTCGAGAGCATCTTCGGAGTTTCAGCAGTGGAGTCTCGCACACTGGACTCGCCGTGCAGTCCATGGTCCCTCCCTGAAACCCCGCCCCAACCTACGACAAAGAGCACTCCTCTTTGCTCCTACCCTTCCCGTTTCGGCCTCTCATCTCTTCCCTGCTTTCTGAACTGAAGTCCCCCAACTCGCCTGCGGGGGCGGAGTCATTGTTTTCTAGACTAATGTGATCTAGGTCCTTCCTGCCCGTCTGACTTAGACTTTCTGATGTCATGTGCCCTTCTGTGTCTTCTGTTTGAGAGGCACCGTTAGCATCCTTTGAGGGACTTCGGTCCTCAAGCAGGGCGTGGCCAGGCACTTCATTCTCTGGACCCGGAGGCCTGCTGGGGGCGGCGCTGTCTTCCTCAGCATCATCTCCTACCACACTGTGGCCCAATCCCTTGTCACTGGCACTGGTGCCTGATGATGGAACTGCATCATCTTCGGAATCCACTGTGTCTCCATCAGGTACTGCTCTCCCTGCCTCAGTGTTTACATCAGAATCATCTCGGCTAAATTTTCTCTCTGACTCAATTTTAGGATCTCCTGGACAATCCACATCTTCGTTGCTTCCTGTCTCAATGCTCTGTTCTGGGTTTTCAGTCACTTCATTTTGCGCTTCGACAGCTGGTTTCTGGTCAGTGGGTTTTCCCTGCTCTACCTCTTTTCCTTCACTTAAATCTGGGGTCTGCAATGCAAACTCTTTCTTAGTGTCTTTGGTTTCTGCAGGTACTGGTGATTTTTTCTTCTTGTTTTTCTTTTTCTTGTTCTTTGCCTTCTTCTGGGATGAGTCCAGTGCCTCTCCCTGCTGCTCATCCTTCTCTCCATCGGGGTCTCTCCCACCTGGGGCTTCACTGTCGGCAGCTGCCGTCCCCAGACCTGGTGCCACCTGAGGACTGCTGCTGGCTGCTGGGGAATGAGGAATGGTTTGCACTTCCATCTCCATTGGTTCCTCATCCCTTGATTCCCTTCCGTCCTCTTCACTGTTTTCCCCACCTACCTCTGTGCTCGGAACTGGGACCTCTTGGGGCTCAGCCACTTCCTGGCTGGCAGGTTCTTTCTCTACATCATGCCCTATGCTTGGGTCCAACTCTTTGGTGGCATCGACCACACATTTTTCACGGTAACTCACTGTGCCATCGCTGCACCCTGGAGGACCTGACACTACTGTGCCGACCTGCTCCCCAAGTCCAGTGAGCCCTGCCTCTAGCACAGCCTCTGTGGGGCTCCCACTTGGCTCATGGGTGTCTGCACTGCTCTGCCCTTCAACTTCAGACACTTGCAAAGGAGCAGACTCCTGGCGTGGTTCTGTGCTAATCTCCTCCACGTTGGTTTGACAATCTTCCTGGTTTTCTTTTTCCTGTTTTTCTGCAGATTCTTTACTTTGGTTGTTGATCTCCAGGGCATCACCACCACCCTGCCCAATCCCAGGACCCGGGATTCCATCATCCAGTGCACGAAGACAACCGGACTGCTCAAGGGAAGCAGCAGCCCTGTCACCTGGCGTGTCTATGACCTCACTGGACTCCACCTGCTCTGGGTTTTCAAGGAGGGACGTGTTCTCTATTTGGCTCTCACCCTGTTCCTCATTCTTGACATTTACTAATGTTCCTGGGGAGGGGGCACTGTCTCCAGAGGCTGTCTGGTCCTCGGCACCTTCACCAGGATGCAACACCTCTGTGTCCACACAGTCCTTTACTGGGTCCTCTTTGCGCTGCTCTTGCTCAGTGCTCTGCAAGACTGCTCCTTTCCCCTCATTCTCCACCATGCCACTTTCCACCTCCACTTCATTGGCTCTTCCTAAAAGACCATTGAGAAAATTGAAGGGACCCCATGATGTGGTGACCACTTAACAAACAACGTAAACACAGGTTCTCACTCCCCCCAGCCCTGCTCCGAGAGAGAGAGACACACCGAGGAAGCACAGGGCACGGTAGCCTTTGCCAGGTCTGTGCGGCAGAGCGCCCATCGCAGCAGCATGTCCGCCCAGCAGAGCATCTCAGAGGTGAGAGCAGCTGCTGGTGCCACTGGGGTGAACTGACTTCCAAAGGTGAAGTTAAGTTGTAACAAATAAGAGCGAGCTCTGCGTCAGGCAGCCGAACCTTCCACAGCTGGGGGTTTCGGGACGCCCGGGGGTTCGTGTCCTCTCTTCCCATTTCCAGATGCACACGGGGACCACTCAGACTTTTCCAGCTATCAAACTGCATCCCACACAGCTCTAAAAGCAGCTTTCAAATCTTTTGTTTGTTTGTTTTGAACGGAGGGACTGGGGATGGAACCCAGCACCTCGTGCCCGCTAAGCATGTGCTGCACCACTGAGCTCTACCACACACCCCCTCAAATTTTTAAAAGAAACATTCAGTTCACCTTGAAAAACTCAGCCTCAAGGTCAACCTCAAGGAAGCCACTGTTGAAACAGCTCATGAAGGTCAAAAGAAATCCACCCCCCAGCCCCTCCAATCGCTGTCTTCCTGGGAGAGCGGCCTGTGCCCTCAGCACCTGTGCTGCTTCCCCTGCGGTGGGGGGAGCAGTTCCAGCAGAAGGCAGACGCCTCAGGTCCAGAGGCCACTTAATTCAAAACAAATCATCCATCCATTAAAGAATTACGAGTTAAAGAACCTGTTCCTGATTTGCAACGAACAGTTACATCTCAGATTTTCCAAACAAACAACACCCCAGCATGTGAGCGACCATGCTACTGAAAGTCAGAGCCTGGTGAGGTAGGACCAGCAGTCCCCACAGCTGGGCACTTCCCCCGGGAAAATGGGCAGACTGGCGGGACGTCACGGAGAGATAGCTTGGCTTGGCCCCTTGCAAATTTCTAGTATTGCCTATGTTTTATAATGTACATTTCATGTTCATTAAATATTACACATATATAAATAAAAAATAAACACCTACACTGGGAAGTTCCCACAGTTCTTTACTGATAGGGATGCGTGATCAAAAGATACGCTGAAGACCACGTACAAAACTGATGTTTCTAGTTCTTTAAGTGTCCGCGACACAGCAGCGGTCAAGGATTTACAAACGTCTACCTGAACAAGAGCAGCACGTCAATTCTAGCTGCTCGGTGGCCAGCAGAAAGGCAGGACGGAAATCCATCACTTTATCTCCTTCCAGCAACTTTCACACAACGAAAAGAGCTGTGTTTCTTCAACAGCCATCAAGACAATGAGGCAATGAGGCACCTTCCAAACAGAAATTAAAGCCACGGCCCCCGGTCTTATTCCACCTCCTCTGTAAGGCGCTGGTACCCAACCCATGACAAGCGAGGCCTTATTTGCCAGCTACAGCTTCAGGCTGCCTGCCGGACTCTGAAGGTTTATCCAAAAGCCAAGTATTATGACAAATATTAATCGGTGAATCTTTTCAGATATTTGCCAACTGTATAAAATATCCCTACAATCTATTGGGTTCCCCAATTTTTATTCTTTCAGAAGCAAAAATATGATGTACAAAAGAACAGCACCTCTGACCAAGGGGCAGACATACTCAGACTCCTGTTGGTGAGGGAAACCCTCCACACTGAGCACACTGACCACCTGGGGCTACCTGTCCCTCTCCCCTCCATCCAAGGCTTCCTGTCCGTCTGCTGCCCGCAGCACCTCACACTCCCAAAATACTCAACGGTGCACAGGATGTGCAGTGTTGGCTTGTGAATACGGTCAACTAACTTACTTTACAGCTTCTGCTATTCTGAGCTTTTGACAATTCTGCAACAGAGTAAGTTAAAAAGCTGTATTTGGCACATATCTGAGGAAAACCAGAGTACTGTCAAAATGGTCACTTAATTTTGAGACTACCTTCCTCACATTCACAGTCTCGCTGGGAGCTTTGAGAAGCAAAAGAAATGTATTCTTAAGCCATTGGTGGTGAGCACTGAACACAGGTGCACGCCAGACAACACAGGTGGGTGATCACATCGTTTGGCAAGAAGTTCCCATGAAGTGACAGAACCAACGGCATGCTGGGTGATTGTTAATTGATCAGTGGTGATTACTTCAATTCTAAGAATGCATGGAGGGTGAATCAATGCTGACTGGAAGGCGAAGGATCAAAGAAATCAAGTACTTACCTAGCGTCCCATCCCCTGTCGCCTTGAGAGCATTTAACTCTTCCTTTGTCATCTTCGGAGAACCTTGGTAGCCAACATTATTTAGAGCATCCGAAGTCTCTCCATTGGTAGCTATTTCTGAATTTAGTATTATTCCATGTTTCTGGGAACAAAAACAGGCTCACCGTAATACTCACCGAGGGACAGTAGGTTAAACTTCATTCTATAAATAATAATTTTAAAAGAAAACCCTTTTTTCCCTGGGCAGGGGAAAACTACAGAGAGAGAAGTGCCAGGTACCAGCCCTGTAAATAGTCTATTAACACACAGGCCGGGGACGTCTTCCTCCAGGGAAAGTTCCTTCCTGCAAGTGCCCATCTGTGTCTCACTGTGCTGGTGACAAGGCACTCGATGGGCATCCTTCTAAACTGGAGGGAGTGGCCGGTAGGCTGCCACAAAGCAGACCGTGAAGCAAGTCACTGTAAAGTGATCTCGACTTCTACAGCCCTGGGTGAGTTCTTTAAAAGCAGAGGGAGGGGCAAAGAAAGACGTCCGTCCCGTGTTCTGAAAGGAGTGAATGAAACTTGGCCGCTGGAATGCTTGTTAAATTCAAAAGAAACAGAATTCATGCTCACTACGAGCAAACACTTTAAAAACAGCTACTCTTCGAACTCCGGGCCGTCTGCCTTCCCATCGGTCCCTCCCTCCCATCGCCCGCAGCTCTTTCTCCCGGCCTGGCCCAGGCGGGGACTCACGCCCCGGGAAGAGCAGCGCTGGGGACCCGAGTGCTAAGCCCGTTCCCTGTTGGCTCGCGGCTCTGGCCTTGACCCTCAGTGAGAGCAGCTGACACTGCTGCTTCCGCGGTCTTCGCAGCCATCAGCCACCTCTTCCAGACCCCACGCTGCCTCCTACAGTCTGGCTGAGAGTCCACCCTGAGTTCTCACCCCCAGTGCTGCCTGTTGGCTTTTTCAACTCAGCGTCCAGCCAGCAGCTAAAGACCCCCTGCCACGGCCGGGGAGGACGTGGAACTTGCCTACACCCACTGGGCCTCGAAGTCCAGTCAGCGTGAGCCTCCCCCAGACCACCGTCCAGCTAGGGAGGGCCTTAAATTCGAGTCTTTTATGTAAGAAACAAATACATTCTCTAACTTTGAGTAGCATCCCGGGGAACTTACTGAGTTGGAGAAAAAATTTAGACAGCCTATCAAAAATATTATTGGAAATCAGAGTTGCTTCCAAGATCAGAAGTGCCTGCAAACACCCCAGCAGAGCCTGCGCTGACGTCACGTGTCTCTTTGGGGTCAGTGTGATTTCAGTAATAGAACTAACGGGGGAGGGTATCGCTCAAGTGGCAGAGCACATGCTTAGCACGCATGAGGTCCTGGTCAGGAGGTCAGTCCCAGGACCTCCTCCAAAAAGAGACAAATGGATAAACCTAATTACCTTCCCCCATCAAAAAATTAAAAAGCAGAACTAAAATCAATGGCATGAAGTTAATTAACACTGCTATACACACATATTCATTCCTGAGAATCCTGGAATTTGCTGTTGTCCCCTGGATTTTTTTTAACTATATTTTGGTTTCATACCTTCAATTCCTCTTTCAGCATGACTACTTCTTCTCTAAGATCATCTCGTTCACTCCTTATGGAATCAAAGAACTCTTTCTGCCTCTCTAATGCCTGAGTGCGTGGCAGAGCAAAGAGAGAGAAGATTCGCACAGGTAAGCAGGTGGCTCCAGAGGCGGGGGGGGGCTTCTACTGTGTGAAACACTAACATCGTCAGGGCATTTGATAGAACATGCTTAAAGACACAAACAGATCCAAGCGTTAAGCTTTTCACTTAGTTCACCCCAGCCAAGAGACGTTCGTGCTCATGCTGCCGGGAAAGACATGGAACGTTTCGAAGGCACTGGAAGTTTCTTTTTCACACCGTCTCCTGGCTTAGTCTGCGGTTTCATAGCAGTGTTAAGAGAATGAACAGAAGCAACGCACCCACTTACAGGAGGCAAAAACAAAGAAGAAGAAATGCTTAAGGACCCCCAGTGACAACTACTGTAGCACTTGAGACTGTTTCTGCACATTGAGTCTCGGTGTTTGTGGTCCCAGATGAACATAAAGCAGTCCTAAGCCAACACCCACACAAACTCCGACATCAGTGAACTAAGGGGCGGTGAGCCCATGGGGGCGAGGACGAGGCGCAGGCCACGGCGCACGGGCTGATGCCGTGCTCGGGCACCCGGAGGCCGTCAGAGGCACAGACGGGCTCCCCCGTCCTAAATGCAGGTGGGCTGGGAGGGAGGGGGCCTGACGCCTCCCTGGGGAGGCTTCGAGGTGGGAACACACGGGGGCACAGCACCTGTCACCTTGCAGCTTCCTCAAACGGGGAGAAGCCCAGGCGACGCCGGCCCCCAGGGAACTGCAGGAGGTCCGAGCCTCCCGGCACTAGCCTGCCCAGGAGCGCCTTCCGCCCCGCTCTGAGCTCTGCCGCTGGTCACAGGTAGGCAGGGAGCCCCTTCACGCTGCCAAAATGAGCATCTCCGTGTTGGGTGTCAATTGGGAGTTAATAACTTGGGGGTCAGTTAGTGTAGTCTCTCTTTGATTAGTTTTATGTCACGTGGGGGTCACATGCAAACTCAAACAAGCCTTTTTGCAAACCAAAGGCCCTGAAAGCGCTCCATTCGCTAAGCAGACTGCCCACTTGAACAGACGTCAGAAAGTCCTACCCCTATCTTTTTGTCTTTCCACTCTATCGTTTCCTGAAGATCAGAAATCTCCCTGCTATAACTCTCCTGTTTCTGCTGTAGCTGTCGGATTTCCTGAAGAACAGGAGACAGAGAGAAAGCAGATTCAGGGTTAAACAGGAAGAGAGTCCCCAGTGCAGACAGCCCCTGAGCCAGCAAGCGCCCCTGGGGGTCCCAGCACCGCGTTTCCTCCCTGAGGCCGAGTTCCTTCTCAGCATGCTGGACTTCATCCTCGTTCTCATCCCAGCTCCAGGAAGTGCAGGGAGAAAGCCAGCTTGAGGGAAACTTTCACTTACAGGCACTAAAGTTCTAGTCAAGTTTTTAAAAAGTTACAAATCAGCTCTGTGTTAGTGTCCGGGAGCTCCAAAGCCCCGAACGTGTCGCAGGGCATCCCCAAGGCTTGGGCGGGCCTGGGTTCTCTTCTGGAGGCCGGAGAGGTGCAGTGCGGTGCAGGTGGGAAGGGAGACTCTACTTCCCCTCCTTTCTAGCTCCTAGGACTATCCACAGTCCTTGGCCTGTGGCCCCTTCCTCACGGGGTTGACCTCTGCTTCCACAGTCGCAGCTCCTCTGCTGCCCTTGGCTCTCCTGCTTCCCTCTTGTAAGGACACTTTTGATCACGCTGGGCCCACCCGGAAAACACAGGGTCATCCCCCACCACAAGGTCCTTGATTTAATCATACCCACAAAATCCCTTTTGCTGTGTAAGGTGACATAGTCCCAGTTCCAGGGATGAGGATGGGGACACCTTAAGGGGCACAACTCCCCAAAGAAACACGAAGCCACCAAAGAATGAGAACCCTCTCTCACAAAGGGACCGTCTCCTTGAGCGAGGCAGAGAGAATCAGCCTAAATGCCACGTTCAAGAAAACCTGAGTAACGAACCAACAGAATGCTCCTAAGTCACAAAAAGAAAAGAAAAACAGGAAAAGCTCCTCACCTCAAGCATCTCTTCCCTTTGCTTCAGGGCCTCCTTCACTTCAGCAAACTGAAACTGGAGGACACTGTGGGCATGCTTTTCCCTTTCAAACTCCTGTAAGGGAGGAAAAGAGCGCTCAAGTCGTGATGGAATCACACTTCTCTGTCCCACGATTTATACCAACCTGGAACAAACTGCCTGTTACCACATCATCACCGTTTTCAAGGCCTTTTTAATAACATGAAACTCTCTCTCTGGACTTCCTAGAAGACGCCCCTATGACCTCCTGTACAGTCAGCCCGAGGAGGTGATGCAGCCGATACCGTGACCCAATGTGCTCACAGGTAAGCAACGCCCTGGGAAAGGGGGCCCCTTCAGGGCATCTGCGCTCGGGGCCACGGGGCTGTGTATGCTGGGGGCCTGGAGGAGGCGCTTTGCAAAGGACTTATAATAAAATGATTCTCCATTTTGAAATATACCAATGAATACTCTTTGGTATATTGGGATAAAAGGGCAATGAATAGGGTCCACTTTGGCAAGTTTATCTCGTTAACAGCATGTGGCCAGCTCTGTACCCCGGGGACAGAACAGGATCAGGTGAAGAAGCAAAGCACTTGCCAGCACAAAGCCCGCTCCTCCAGGCCGACCCTCCCCCGCATGAGGCTCAGCCCACGAGGCAACACGGCTCTTGTGGTCTCTGTTCAGCTCAGCCACAGCCGTGCAGTCCCTAATGATGGTCTGGTACCCAACTAACTGCCAACAGTTTAGGGGACAGCAGGGGACACTCCTTAGATTTGCTAGCTGGTTATTTTAAAAGGAATTTGGTCTTAGCTCAACTCATCACCATGTGTTCACCGACCTCCTGAAGTCTGAGGGGACGGGACCCTCCAACCTGTGACCGGGACCTGTCTGTCAGGTTTTGCTTCACCCATGGTCCTCGTCTTGGGACATTCCAGGATCACCCAACTTCTCTGGAATTAGATTTGGGGTTTCCTGGTCTACAGACTGATGCCTAAATGAGGGCATTTGAGGAGGATTTAGAATGCATTACAGTGTCCTTCCACTAAGTGGGGTCCAGAACAAGCTCTCTGCGCCTATATTCCAACGTGACATCGGGTCTCGTGAAGTTTCTCTGTTTCAGAGATCAGCTGTCAGGAACTTCATGGATAAAATTCTTCTTTAGTTTCTAACTCAACTATAGCAGTGAAAGAAAGAAACCCAGTACCTGGGTTTTAACCCTTGGGATTCAGAGGATATAGCCAGTTAGAAGAAGAGATAATGACACTCACAACTTAAATTATGTATTTATCTCAGTGACTCAAAATTGGACAATACTCTAGGATCTGATAAATCAGCTAATTCCTTGTAATGTGAAAACCAGGTATTCCTTGCTCTGTATCTCACAAAGAACAGCTAAGCCTTGCCTTCGCCAAACCAGCTACCGTCATCAATTTCAACACACACTCATGCTTTCTGTGGATGTCCTAAATTAACACAGTAATCCCAGTGGCTCTTAATGACACCCCAAGGAAGACTCTGCCCTTCTCTGAGCTTCATGAAGGTACTGAAGTCTTTTTTTTTCCCAAGAGAAGTATAGTCAATTTATAATGTCATGTTAATTTCTGGTGAACAGCATAGTGATTCAGGTGTACATATATGTATATATATTCCTTTTTGTACTGTTTTTCATTATAGGCTATGACACAGCATTGAACATAGTTCTCTGTGCTGCACAGTAGAGCCTTGCCGTTTATCTACTTTATATATAGTAGTGAGTATTGCAGATCCACACTCCCAATTTATCCCTCCCCAACTGGTATTTAATTCTTAAATGGAGTAACTGTGACTTTTCCCAATCAAGAGAAAATAAATAAATATAATTTTCTTGAAGATCCCTGATACTGGCAACTGACTATTTCTCTATGGTGTTGAGATAACAAAATAAAAACCATGAAATGTATACGAACAGGAAAACCCTGGAGCGTCCAGTCATGCCTTATCTAAGCACACTGGTTCTTTCATAGGCAGGTGTTTTTCATGGTTATGATTTCACCTTCCACGCAAAACACACAAATGTACTCCTGGTAAAATGGTTTCTAGTTTACCTGTTGGAATTGGCCTTTCGACATTTAAAGTCCCTCAGCAAATAGCATGGTATTCTCATTCCTAACTATTTGGGCATTCAGGACAAGTGGAGAGCTATTATTTTAAAAAAAACTCACACAAAAAAATAAAAAACAAAAAAACCCTGCACACACATATAAAATATGTAAGTACCATCTATCAAATATATATACGTGTATATATACACACACACATTCTCCCTTTCTCACGTGTGCCACGTACATACTCTCCCACCGTTACGTACGCCATTTGTATGTACTCCACCGTTATTACACACACCACATACCCACATTCTCCCATCGTCACGTACACCACTTGTGTACACAGTCTCCCACTGTCACATACACCACATGGCGATACTTCCCACTCTCACGGGCACCGCATGTAAACATCCCCCCAGCGCTGCGCGCACCACTCGCAGACACACTCTCCACCGCTCCCTCTCGTGCTGGAACGTACTTTGTTCTTCTCCTCGTACTGCCGCCTGGACTCAGCCAGCTGCTCCTCCAGCTCCAGGAGCGTGTCCTTCAGGGTGTCGACCTGGTACATGAAGTTTGTCTTCTCGTTGTCCAGCTGAGCGTTGGAAACCATAGCCTTCTTGTATTTCTCTTCAACTTCTGCTAGTGAGTCCTGCAGAAACCAGGTCATATTTTTGAAATTGTAGTAAGAAAACAAAAAACAAAGATTAGTTCAGTATTCTTTAACCAAAACCCAAAAAACTCAGCCCTAAATTTAGACTTCCTTTTTTTTTTTCAAAACCCTTTACTGTTTTTTTTTGAAGAGGGAAGAATTAAGTTTATTTCTTTACTCTTACAGGAGGTACTTTTTGTGGGGGGAGGTAATTAGGTTTATTTCTTTATTTATTTTAATGGAGGTACCGGGGATTGAATCTAGGACCTCGTGCATGCTAGGCATGCACTCTACCACTGAGCTATACCCTCCCCAACCAGACTGTATCTCTTAGAGCAAATGAATCATAAAAAGAAACACATGCCATTGGAAATGCCCAGAAAGTCCCCCTTTTCAACTTGATCAAATTCTCACTACTCAGAAAATCAGTTATTAACTACGTGTAGGGAGGAAAATACTTTAGAGTCACTAGGACGAGGGGGACACCAGATGGCAAGGCCCCAGTCACAGAGGCAGCAGAGCCCTGGCTGCGTGATTCAGGAGCCCGTCACAGCGGCTTGGGCTGTTGGACAGGTTTCTGAAGTAATCACTCAGGACACATTGACCAGAACCTGGGCCAGAGCCAGGGCGCAAACAAAACAGAACAAAAGCCAGAACACCTGCCACCAGCTGCCCGTTAACCCTGTCGGGGCTTGTGAACTAGGAAAGGTTTAAGTGGAATTTCACATTTCCAACCCACAGGAAGACCAAACAAGGCACACAGGTCTCACTGGGGAGGTCCTGGAAAGACAAAGCTCATTCCTTTGAAAAGACAAGACAGGGAAGGAAGCCTGCAAAATACACCTGCCTCTGGCCCCGGCCCCTCCCTGGGCTCACACCCCTGCAGGACAGATCAGGGGAGGGCAGCCCGGGGAGGGCAGGGAGAGCGGGATCCCGGAGCAGACGGGGGCACACCCAGGGCTAGAGAAGGGGTCAGGTGGGTCGGTGCTACCGGGAAGGCGGCTTCGCGGAGACCAGCGCTGCTCTCGCCTGCGTGTGCAGACCAGGGCAAGGACTTCAGGTGGGACCAGTGATCCCTGGGCTGTTTCAGTGGCTCCCTTTTCTTTCTTTCTTTTTTTTTCCTGTCATGATCATTTTTATTGTAATGCGTGGTAATTAGATATAAATGACTAGTTGTTTAAGCAATAATCCTAATTACTATTAATCTGACAACACATAGCAACGCTGTTATGGGGGACATGCAGGAGAGTCCCCACAGGTGCAGTGGCTCCCTTTTCAACTCCAGCGCGAGCTGAAAGCCAGAATCCCAACTTCCCCCGCTTTTGAAAGAGACAAACAGGAAAGGGATTCGTTAGTCATGTGATTCGCCACCTCCGGCGCCCCTGTGCTGCTGAACTCAGACTTGGGAGTCGAAAAGGAAGGAACAGTTTACCATCTAATGCTGGGCCCGTGATCCGCTGTAGCTGCCTCACCAAGAACACTGTCCCTGACCACCCCCAACCCCCCGCCTTCAGCAGCTAAATTTGCTGGCTGGCACAAAGCAGCAAGTTCACTTTCTAAAAGTACCGTGTATTTACTCAAATAAATCCAGGATGATACACATTCAGACACTGCTTCAATTGGTAAAACTGTCAGTAGGCAAATAATTGGGTGTTCCGAAAGCACAGCAACACAACTTTCTTATTGCTGGACAGCAGATGTTGAGAAGCAAATTAAATCGAAGCATCATTTGTACGTAATGACTGCAGAAAATGAAGGAAAAAAAAAACCCTCTTCAAGTGTATGGTTCGCTTCTGTGGGAAGTGAGAAACTGGTCTTAAGCCGGGCTGGGGTTGGGGGGCGAGTACAAGACATGCGTCAGGAGACCGGTTAGTAACTTCGCCCGCGGAAGGGTTACCATTTTTCAAGTCTTGGCCCCGCCTTTGGAAACACGAGGTGCACACACAGCCAGGCTAGCATTCCTGCCGCTTTTAGTTCTACGGTCTAGAGCCTTCTGAGAGCAAGCATGCAGTCTGGATGTCTTTTGGGGGATGTTTGAAAGTTAAATTGGGTTAATATCATGACTCCACACTTCTGTAAACCAGTACCTTCATCTCTTTCAATCCCTGCATGTATTTGCCTTCTACATCCTGAATCTGGTCCTTTAACTCATTGAGTTCCTGGGGGAAATGGCAAAAAAAAGGCAAATGATGTCAAGGGCAAAGATGGATGGAGACCACAGAGAAAGAGGCGAGTCTCTGACTCTTCTCTGCTTTGGGTGGTTTCCCTTATTTTGTGTAGTCAGAGCAGCGATCTTCTTTTAATTTTTTTAAGTGTTAAAATAAATTTCAATATTACAACGATTCAAATTTCAGTGTATCTCATACAGTCTTTCCACACGATTGTATAAAATGCAGGTGTCTCTCATCTGTTTTTACACAATTTTATAAAGCAGGCAAAAGAGCTCCTGCAAAGGGAGGTCACCAACTCCTGTTGCACAGACCGCTCAGGGGCTCTGAGTTCTCCGTGCCCCGTCCAGTAAGACGCCGAGGACGGCAGTCAGCAAAGCGCGGCCCCTGCCCTGCGGAGGCTCGTTTATGCCCACATGCCCGGGTCCAGGGTCTGCGTGAGCGGGACTCGCAGTCCACCCTCGCTGAACAAGAGAACGGTGCTCACAGCCCAAGAGCAGAGACAACCATGACTGCGGCAAAGTCTACCTGGAGGCAGTGAGGTCTGAACCACAGTGGCGGGGGGACCGCACAGGGGAGGGACGTCTTAGGAAGAGCCGACAAAACATTGCTCCTATAAAGCACAGCAGTTGGAAGCCATCTTCAGGGGAATCTAGCCCCATCCCCACTGTGCTTAAATAAATCCCTCCTCCGGTCTCCATGGCAATCGGTTATCCAGCTGTTCAGATATCACCAGTGGCAGCTGGTTCCCTTTCAACTAGTTCTAATGACTAGAAGGCTCTTCCATAAAAGAAGACAACTCTGATGCGCCAGCCTTCCTTGGTCTTTGCTCGCTCTCCAGGACACAAATTCTGGTAATGCCACCTTTCCTTTGTATTGTCCCCTTTTCAGATGCAACATTTCTCATTTCTTTAACAAACAGGGCAGTGTGTTAAGGATATAACAGAGAATAATGTCCACATTCCAATGGGAGAAGGAAGAATGTCTGAAACACCAGATGACATCTACCGAAGACATACTGTGCATATTACAAAGGGCAGGGCACATTCCAGGCAGAGGGCGAGGTGCTCAAAGGCAAGGTGGGATTGTTGGGAGAAGTGAGTAATCTGTGTTCAGCAGATCCTGACACCCTGGGTGGAAGGTCTACACCATGGCCGAGCCCCCTGGGGCAGTGGGACGGCTGAGGGTTCCAGCACACATCCGCCCTCCTGGGTGGGGAGGTTGGGGCGGCTCCCTGCAGGAGACCACAACTGGGCCGTGCTTATGGGAGGTGGGGGAGACCAGACCTAGACGAAAGACCCTGAATTTTACAAATTAACTCTTTTCTTACTTGAAGACTGATTTTCATAAAAGGCTTCCCAAGGTCATGAGTAAGCAGAGTAAGCAGACAGCCTTACCTTGAGTTCCCTAATGGACGCTTCAGTGTCAAGGGAGATGGAAGTGTCCCCGCTGCCCCTCCGAGAGGAAGTCCCACCCAGGGAGGCCAGTGTGGCTGCAGACAGGCCGGGCAGGCTACGAGACCCCTGCAACATTGCAAAGATGAAATGGGATTTCAGCCAAAACCAAAATTACTTCCACGTCCACTGTTATGGTACCCTTGCTCGAATTCAGTTTCCAAACTGGACCATCTTCCGTGGGTTTATGGTAAGCAACAAAGAGGTTCACCTCGAGGGGCCTCATGGATGCCTGGGATTTATCTGGGTTCACCTTTAGCTCCGTGCCTGGGCCCTAGTGAATCCCTTCTCTGTTCTGCAGGGCTTCTCACACACACCGGAAGTGACTCTCGGGGACCCCAGAGGTCTGCACCCCTGGTGAGCCGGGCACTAGACCTGTTCACTCACCAGTGAGCATCTTTATTAAACATCAAGAATACACTTTCTTGTTAGTTTCATGCATAAATTTCAGGATCCTCATGGTTTACAAATGACACAATATAAAGCTCTACAGAAATTCCTTACCTTTTCAGTGAAATCCTTCTCTGGTCTCTCTTCAACCTGGAGAGGAAAGTGGACGAGTAGTAAATACTTAACAGCATTAAACAGACCATCTGGATTTAGGGAGTAAGATAACAGTAAGATAAAGCACTGGCTTCCGCTGCGATTTAAACACTACATAGCCACGAGACTCTTGGATACGCTCGTGGTGCACAGCAGTGGCCGTGGGCAGCCCATGCGCCTGGATGAACTCCACTGTGTGGTTTTTCACCTTTCACAATTTCCACCGGAAGATGAGTCGTTAATGAATTGAATCCGAGCAGGCTGACTTGGCAAGTTTCTACAGTTGTGTGCAGGACTCGGCGGGGAAGAGGACAAGCACCCGCCTGGCTTACCCACTGCGATGACTAAGACTGGAACTTGAGTCTACAACCAGGGACCAGGGGCCGGAAGACGCAACCACACAGAGTGTTCATTTTGACTATGACTAACCTTGGTCTCCAAAGCGAGAAAGCAATGGAGCCAACTGCAACTTTCCCACTGCTGGTAGCTGAGTCAACGTGAAAATTCTAGTTTAAACATCTTGGGATGGACGCCCAGGTGTGGGGCGCTGGCTGGGGGTGGGTGCAGTACACGAGAATTTGCCAAGGGGAAAGGGGGACCCTGAGAATTTGGTTCTTCACGTCTTTCCTGTTTGGACATGTCTCGGAGGCCGCCCTCCTCCCTTCCGCAGGCAGGAGCCTCTGCGGGACCTACAGCAGCCTAAGAAGCCCCAGGATGGTGAATCAGCATGGACCCCAAGGACAGGTGCCTGCCCTGTGAGGGCACCTCGGGGTCACAGACCGTGGCAGCACTGGTGCTACTTCTCTCTGCTCAGCATCCATCAAGAGGCCAGCTTGCTCTTCTGCTTCCTTCCCTCCTTTTTGGCACATTGAGGACTCCTTTCCAAAAGCCCACAGGAAAGAGCACAGAAGGCGAAGAGAACTCTGCACTTGAGGGTCTCCAAACTCTCTGGCTTTTCCCATCATGCCTCTAATCCCACCTCCGGGCGCTCAGAAGTTCTTAAATTTGATTGACAGAGAGTCAACTGAAGATGCTCAGGATGAGTGCAGACCACATCTTTGATTTGGTAGACCTAGACCTGGGGCCCTCCAGGCACCCAGAGGCCACCCAGAATGCGGGCTGAGAAAGCCTGATGGGTGTGGGTCCAAGACCACCGCAGAGCAGCTAATGGACACGCCACCTGCCCACAGTGCGATCGTGCACGGGAGAGCGTAGGGTGGAGGTGCTAAGCGCTGGTCAGGACACCGTAAAGGCAGGGACTTCCTGTAAGGACGGCCACTTCCTGTCCTCTGCCCACCCTGGGCCCACGCCAGGCTGGGTAGGCCCGAGTTCCCACCAAGAAGGCTCACTGACCGCCACCTGCTCTCCTCCACACTCGAACCTTCCACTTCTTTCCAGGGCAGGATACCTGAAGTAACCACTGAAATGACACAGCGAAGTGTGAGAGCTCAGCAACCAGTCAAGGGGACCCAATGGAATCAGACAAAATACTTGATTAATTCAAAAGAAGGCAGTTTCTGAAACCAGCTCTTTGCTCAGGACAGTCAAGCTCAAGGGTTTCCTGCTCAACGGATCCAAGTTTAACCCCGGGGCCTGGGGCCCGGCGCCCAAAGCCACTGCACCTGGGCTCACCCATCCAGCGCACACCTGGGTCTTCAGCAAGAACTTTCTGTCTCAGTTAACTAGTCTCCTTTGTGTCCTGAGAGTTGGAGAGGACATGAAGGGGCTATATCCCTCAGGCAAGGGGGTGGACTCATGCTGGCCTCGTGCCCAGTTTGCTAAATAAACCCTGAGGTGTGCGGGTGTTCCCTGGGGTCCAGAGCACTCTCCTCTCCACTTGGCCATGGCCAGCTGTCCTCCGAGGACCAGCAAGCCTGTGTGTCTCACAGGAGATGTCCAGATGCATCCTTTTCCATTCTCCATGTGGCAGTCACAGCCCGTGAAAGACAGCTCCCTCTCAACCGTGTACCACACCACCTGACATCTGCTGGCAGGTGCATTTAGTAACTGGAAACGCATACGCCTAGACTTGTTCTTTCAGATGCGCATGTCACATTGGCCTAACGAGGTATTCCGGGGCACCCGGAGATGGCCTCAGATTGAGATGGTCCTGCCTTACTGTTCCTGGCACAGCCCCAGGGAGCCTGGACCGATGTTCTGAGCTGTGAGAATGATTTTAGCATTTCGAGTGTGGGTCTTCTGTCCACTTGGGAATAAAAATATTCCTGAAAATGTCAAATAACTAAGGAAAAGCTAATTGTCTAGCACTTGGCCTGCTGGGGAATCTATTCAATAACCTCTTGGGCACAAGGCCTTCATTCCCTAGAATAAGTTAGTTTGCAGAACAAATATTAATGAGACGAAAATAAGGAGGCCGATTTCACTATGGGTAGAACAGGAAGACTTGGTTGAATAGACTGAGGCCACCGGGGAGAAGCCTGCTGCTGTTCTGCTCTGCAGTTTAGAGTATCTTTTCTGACTGTGCGTCAGCAATAGATAAGTATTGTACAGACAAAAGGAGCTCCAGAAATCCTATGTTCACCTACAAAAACATCTGCCCATAAAAGAAGGACCCCCACTTCATTTCAGCATTTCTTCTGAGAAAGATGAGAAGGAATAGGCACTAGACAGGAAACACCGCTTTTGTGGGGGCCTTTGCTCTGCACTGTTTCACCATAATCATAAATATCACTTTGTAACTGGCAAAACACCAAATAAGGAAGAAAAACCTAAAGCCATAGCTTTCTCTTCAATTTAAACACATTTGATAAGAGTTTTTAAAAAGCCTTTGCTCTGAAATACATAATACATTCAGAAAGTGAAAATTCAGGACATGATTTTAAGTAGAGGCCATGGAGGGAAAAATTAAGCTCTCAATGAGAGTTTAGCCAGTTTGTGCTTAACGACTGTTTCCAATCTCTATTTTACACATCAGGGTAAGTGTCTGTTTTCTGAGCGACAAGGGACACGTGTATCTGCCCGCCTGCTGCCATGTAGGAAGTACGCGGACTCCGCGGAAAGAGGGGCAGCCGCACGGAGCCGCTGCAGTCCCGCCGGCTCCCGCTAGGTGGCAGCCGGTGTCGGGCGGAGCGGGCGGTCCAGGGAGCCGCGCGGGCAGGCAGAACGGCCCGCTCCGCCCCCAGCAAAGGAACAGGTAAGTACCCCAGACGTGAGTTTAATTTGACACAAAACACAGTATTTTATCTCTGAAAATAACATACAAAGACACAGAATAGACGAAAGGGTTCTTAGACACTGTCGTGGCCGCTGCCCAGGGGATGCCGTGGACCACAGGTGCCAAGACCCTCCAGCCCACAGCAGCAGGGACCCGGACAGGCCCCGGGACCTCGAGGCCTGGCTCCTCACCTGAGAACCGGCAGCTGCTAGCTTTCCTTCTCACTTACTGAGCCTTCCTCCTCATTTTCTGAGCCATACTGAACAACGTGAAAACGTCACAGGAGCAGGCTTATGAAATATGTAAACCGGTAGCTTATAATCAAAACTGAGCATATACAAAGGCATTCTTTAAAATTTACAGGAAATAGTCACTTTCAAAAAATCTGTGTGAAACTTTACATTATGGTGACTCTTCCTTACAAAAACAAATGCTCAAAGTAGCACATTTTAATTTAATTCCAACCTTCTAATACCATGTCTGGGGGCAGGGTACAACAGCTCAGTGGTGGAGCCCGTGTCCAGCAGGCACAAGGTCCCGGGGTCAATCCCTAGCACCTCCATTAAAGACAAAACCTAATTACCCCCTACTTCCCCCCAGAATAAAATCCTCTGTGAAGTTACTGTTTTGGCTCACTTAAACACCACGCCTGGTGAGGTTTCAGATTTCAGGTTCCCCATGTCACCATCTGGCTGGCCCGCCTTCCTTGAGACAGAGCACAGTCTGAGGGCCCTGGGGAGACCCCAGCAAGGGGGCCAGAGACCAAAGAACCTCTCCTCGTGGTGCCCCAAGCCCCAGAGGGGAAATGGGACCACAGAAGCCATGTCACCGCGGGGCCCCTCTCGAGAAACCAACCGACACCAGTGACTGCTCAGAAAACACCTGTTTTAAGGGTAATTTTCCTCCCAGTATAAACAGTAGCAGAGTCTACCATCAGAGTGGAAATTCCTGGCTTTAAATCCAGTAATACTGACCTCATCCTGCATGCCTTGTCCTTGAACTCCTGTATTCATGATCCCAAACCTGTTTTGCCACCAGTCCCCGCCCCCGCCTCCTCCTGCCACATCAGACCAGAGTCCCTCCTGCCTTTTGTTTTTCCAGCTCAGATGGGGCTGAGGCTGCAGGTCCCCACCCAGGCTTCTCTGAAAACACACTGGCACGTGAACCTGGGCCCCACGCAGGACGCCCTGACCTCACTGGACGCAGGCGGGTTCTGAGGCCTGGTGACACAGCTGTGTCGGCCTCTGCCGGCGACGCCCGCTCCTCGGACGTGCTCCAGGCCTGGATCAAACCTCGGATCCCCGCTTTCTGGACGCGCCCGCCCCTCCCTCGCAGCCGGTGCTGCTGAGTTTCATACGGTGCGCGTGCCCACTTGCTGAGGTCTGCCTCCCTCCCCAGCCTGTGTCTGCAAATCCCTGCAGCCTACAACATTCAAGGCGTTCGATAAACACTGGCTGAGTGAACGAACCACAACTCCCTCGAGAGGAAGATTCTGGACTTGTTGGAGAAGAAAACATGGCTCACCTATGGAATGTGAAAAATAAGCATGAGGTCACGCAGGGCATGTCCTCTGAGATGGGACAGGCACCCTCCGCTTCCCACGAGGCTGCAGGACCATGGGGTGCGGCCCACGTGGCGTCTTTGGAAGCTGAGGCACCTGCACTTTCTAAAAATGGGACAAGCTATCACTTCCCTCCATATCAGGCTGCCTGCTTTTGCTCTTGGCACGAGCTCCCCTCCCCGCCCCTGGGGCACTGGCCTTCCTTCCACACCCAGAGCCTCCCAGGGCTGCCCCCCCAGGCCCCGGGGTCCTATTTCCTTCCATGCCCTCGCTCACACTGCCCCCTGGAGCCACATTCCTGACGGGTCATCAGGCCAGGATGGTTCCCCGCAGGCCACAGTGGCCCGTGACAACCCTCCTAGCCCTGGGCAGCTCGCTCAAGAGAAGCAGGTCACCAATGCCCGGTCTTTTGATGGTTTTATTTCGCAAGCACATCATTACTCATCTTTCCAGGTGAAGCTCAGGAAGTGTAGGTCCTGTAACTCCCTTCTCCCTTCCTGCCCTGCATCCTTTGCAGAGGGTGGGCAGGGAGTGGGGCTGAGAGTGGGCCCCTCCCTGTGCGCAGCCTGTCCCTGCCGCTCCTCCCTCCTAGGCAGGGGGCCCAGGGGAGCCTGAGCACAAGCATCCTGGCCGCCTTCCCATCAACAAGGCCAAACACACCCACTAACACTGTTGGTCTCGCAAACCTGAAACAAACACCTGCCCCCCTTCCAGTGGTGTAACTGCCTGGGATTCTGAGCGTAGAAACTGGGCAGACTCTGTGGAAGAGGACGGCGAGTGCGGGGATCCCGAGCACAGGGCGAGCTCAGCTCTGTCCTGCAGACTCGCTGCAGATGCCAGAGATGCTGCCTGTGTTCCAGCCTCCAGACGACTGAGAGCCACCGTGACCGCACCCCCGGGGACTGCCCTGGGTGGCACCGAGGTGCCTCTGGATTCTAAGGGCCACACACAGAGGTGTCCTCAACTTCGAGGTCTCCAACCCACATGAAGCCTCTGGACGGGGTGGAGCACAGCCTGCCCCTCAGGCTGCGGGGCGTGGACCTTCGATTACTAAATGTGCCAACAGCTCAACTTGGTCAGTCGACCTTTGTAAACAAGCAGTTGACTCAGCGGAGAGGAGACTGAACGGATTACCTGTTTGTAACAAACTGAAAAACCAGCTCAACCAAGTCCCTGGTAGTCTTGCATACTCAGGGCTCTGAAGGGACCGAGACGGGCGGGGGGCGGGCGGACCTGGCCAGGCCCCCTCAGGTACCGAGAGACCACCAGCTTCTCGTCTTCCAGGCCCGGGGACACAGGGCCATTTGACGCTCGCCGCTCTGTTGGTGGTGGTCTGCTAAACCCATTTTACGTAAGTTTTCCACAGGTTTGGAAGGCGATGACAGAGGCATTCGTATCTAGCCGCAGTCTCTCCAGTGAGGGACCAGGCTGAGCTGCTGTTCTGTGACTTCATCACGATGCTTGAATAAATCCAAAGACGGCAGGCAGTCGGGGGCCCACAATCCCCTGCCTCGCTGGAGCCGGACCAGGCGGAGAAGCCGGGAGGAGTCACACCTCCTCCTGTCAACTTGTCAGCACTTCCGTTGTTCCCAAAGTGAGCGCGAGAGAGGACCGGGCCCGCGGAAGCGCGGCTCTGCGTCCCAGTCGCCCCGGAGCGTTTTATCCCTGTGGTTCTGAGGTGCCACACAGGTGATCTGTGTATTTGCTACTCTGCATGGAATATGCAATCACTAGCCGGAAGCAAAGGCAGGCAAGGCCGTCCCCGGGGCCCACTGGTCTCCAGGGCAGGAATTCCTCGGTTCCCAAACCCTGCTCTTCACTCATTTATGTAACACCCATAAGAGGCGACGCGCCAGATTTTAAACTCTGAACTTACATGACACGGCACAGCTGAGTATCCTGATGGGTCCTGGGGCAGCAGTAAACACCGGGGCTTTGCGGGGTGGCAGACACCCTGTTCTCACCCCCTCCACCTGTCTTCCGTTTTCTCAGCCTCGACATGTAAATGGTGGAGAGGAGCACGTCTCCACCGTCAGCAGAACACCAGGCCAGCCCAGGGATGAACGGCTCTGGCCTTGGCCTTGAAGTCAGGGAGAGCAGGGCAGGCGTGGGGGACTCTGAGGCCCCGGGCTCAGCGCTGCAGGGTCAACCCGCAGGGATCCCTCTGCTCGCTTCCCCGGGAGAAGCAGACAGACATCTGCTTGTGGTATGAAACCTCCCGGCTGGAAAAAGCTGGATCTAATTTAAAAACACAAACGAGTCCCCAGCACCCAATGGGGGCCCCTGTGCAAGGCGGAGCTCTAGCCCCACAGCCTCTGCTTTGATTGCCAGGAACACCTCCTAAGTTTCAGACATGAGTGCATCCAACTGCAGTGTCGTGTAAGGGAGTTAAGCACAGTCAGGCTCCCGTACGCCGGAGGAGTGAGGAAAGACATCACCTTCCCTCGTCTTCCTGCTCTGCTGCCCAGGGTCCACCAGGAGGGGTCCTGGCCCTCGGCGTGCCCCGTCGTGCAGGGCTGGCACGCAGCCCCGGCCCCGCTCACGGAACGCCCCCTCCCCGTCACTGCGTCAGCCCCCCTCCCAAATGTCCCGGGGGCAAAGCTGCTGGCCAATCCCTTACTGTTAAAAAACAATACAGCTGCCTTATACAAAGCATCAGATGAGGCGAAACTGTAAAGTTTCAAAGACGGGGTGGGGGGGGGACCATGATACTGAGGCTTAAATGATGGGGACTCGCCAGCAAGAACCCTTTCTTTCTGAAGCAGAACCTGGGTCACATCGCGCTGAGTGACAGGAGCGCAGCGCTGCAGCTTCCCGGGCACGGACTAGAGGCCGGGTGGGCAGGGGAGGGTGGGGCAGAGCGAGGGCTGTCCGGGCACGTCCAGGCTACGCTTGAGCCTAGAAACTGTCTGGGTCCAGGGACAGATAACGTTTCAAGCAAGTGTTAAAAACAAATCGTTCAAACTTTTAAATCATTAAAAAAAAACCCACCCACATCGACGCACGGGGCTACAGTTCCCCTCTGCACACAGTTCCCTCCTGCCAGGAAGACCCCCGTCTCTAAGGGCCATCAGCAACCTCTTAAAGGCTCCCTTAGAAATTTAGCAGTGCGACAGTAAATTTTCTAAATTCGGAAGCGTTTCCCCCCATCCTGTTTCTACTTTGACCTGCAATAAATCATGAAAAGTCTTCATCCTTCCTCCTGGGTTCAGGCATTCGGGGGTGGAGGGTTTACAAGAATAGCAGTAAAGAGTGGAAGGGAAGGGCAGAAAGGGAGCAGGGAGGCGGCAGGAGCAGGCGATGCACTCACCACTGGGCTGGCTCGCGCCGAGCTGGCTCTGGAGGAGGAGCGGGAGCTGGACTTGAGGTGGCCGCTGGGCTCGGAGGGCTGGCCGGGCGCACAGCCGGCCGCGGGGCACGCAGACAGAAACAAAGGAACAGGTCAGCAGAGGTGCAAGGAGAACGGAGGCCAGGCGACCGACGCCCCGGTTAGTGGTGAAGTCAGCCACGCGCACCCCGGAAAGGAAGGAGAGGTTAGCAGGACAGCGGACGGCCCCGGGAAGGAGGCTGCGTCTCTCACCGCTTCCAACACATGCTCACACAGAATAAACAACTTAATCAGAATATCAAAGGAACCCAGAATTCTCGGTTAGTAGGAAGAAAGAGACACAAAGCATCCGTTCATCCGGGGTGCGGAGGGCACCTTGTTGACCGGCAGAAAGCTGGTCGAGGTGGCGGTCACTGGTCTGGAGGATGCGCGCTGCCTCCCAGCACAGAAACGGAAGACGGGGGGACAGTTGCCTGGCTGTGGGGCCACGCAAAAGCCGGCTGCTCTGCCATCTTTCCCAGTGAAAGCAAAATAGGGTTTTGGGGTAATACGAAGGCAGGCCCGGCTCTCTGCAGTGCCACAGGACCTTCCGTCTGGCCGCCTGTGTGTGCTCGTCTGTCTACCCGTCTACCTAAACTTGCTCTCCTCCGGTAAAGGAAGACACCAGCAGCTCACTTACCCGGAAGTGACGCCCTCTTAACTTTGACTTGTATTCACATCTGTTCTAACCCTAAAAGCATTTTCAGTTGAACAGAAAAGAACATTACCTTCCTCTTGAATGAGGCAGGGTGGGGGCAGGGGAGGCAGAAACACCACTTCACATCACAGGCACCAGCGGACTGAGGAGCTGGCCTGCGAGGCCCGCACTGGCTGTCCTCTCCCTGCCCCCAGGGCCCCCGGAGACCCACAGGCATTACCCCTCCTGCAAATTATAAGGAGTCACAAAAGTTCAGGGGCCTTTGCGACTCTTATCACAAATACCATCTCTCAGTTTGCCTGTTTTTCCACCAGAGTGGAATTCCCAAGGGCAGAGTCTGCGTCTGTTCTGTTCGCTGCGGAATCCCCAGGGACCAGACGAGCCTGGCACACAGAGGACACTTGAGAAATACTTGCAGAACGAACCATTTTAACTTCAGACTGTAAAGAGCCTTGGTCAAGATGAGCAAGTTTCCCAGACGCATCGGCCTGGACTCATTCCTCTATCGGATCAGTAGTTGCTGTATATTTACGTGCAACACCCTGGTCAGGTGCACAGAGGACAGGGCTGTGCATCCACCACGTGTTAGAATCACTGCCCCGTGTGGCATGTACATGAAATCTACCAGCATTACCAGCCTCACCTTTTAGCTTCATTGTTTAAAATAAAGGAAAATGCCTGACGTGGGCCCTTTAAAGCAGAAGTATTTCAGCTCTGGGTTTGCTGATACAAAAGAGAGGAGAATTTCCTCCTGTGGACAAATCCTACTGTATTCTATGTCACTGGCGTCTGGGTTTGTGGTGCAGAGGTATGACAGATAGTCATCAATAGGGTTTATTTCCAACCCAAGTCTCTCCAATTCCTGAGTCAGTAACTGCTCTCAGAGCATCCAATCTGACCCTGTCGTGCGGAAAAGAGTAAGTTCAACGTCCGTATCACCGTGGTCCATACGGTGCCTTTGAAGTCGCCCATGCTTTGGAGTCAGTGAGGCTGATGGGGGGCTGACATAATTTAGAAAAATGAGTCCAGGGTCCATCTCTTATCGGTCATGACACCTTGGAAAAGTTACATAGCCTGTCACCTGCAGCATGAAGCGAGGACACTGACCACACGGGTGCTGAGGGTGACGCAAGAGACTGCAGCTGGGCTCTCCCGCCCTGCCACTTTCGGCTGGAAACAGCCTCCACGGCTCAGGGACAGGCGGCATGTGGGGACGGGGTGGGCAGGGCCTGACCGTGTCCCGGAGCGTGGTCAGAGCAATCAAGAAGGCTGCTCCACAGCCACGAGTCCTTCCCACAACGCGCACACAGCTTAGTTAACGGTCACAAAGGGATAAAAGGGAGGGTTTTCAAGCAAAATCTTTATACTTTAAAGAATTGGTCACAGTCATTTACCTGTAATTGTAATCAGTCAAACTGTAAACACAGACGGTGTCTGAGGCTAACTTCTTGGGAGAAGGGGACAAGTCTTGCAAAGTGGGTTCAGGACTGTCCTAGGCAGGCTTGGGTCATCCTGGACTCTGAGGTCAGCGCTAGGGGTCAGGACAGGAGGGACGCCCAGTGTACAACATCCTCACGTGGGGATGTGTGTCTGCCAGCCGCCCCAGCCCCCAGCCTGACGGAGAGCCTGGAGAAGCCGCGGTCCTGGGCACGGGGAACTCCATGTCCACTTGGAGGGTGACTGTGAGGCCGGGCAGTGGGGGAGACAGGAGAGGACCAGAGCTCGGTGAGCCGCCCCTCCCACTCAGCCTGACCTGCTTCCGGCGCAGAGCTGCTGGCTCAGCGACCCCTTCTGAGGGGTCTCGCCCCCGGGAGCAGTCTGTCCCTCTGAATCCTGCAAACTGCTGCTGCGCCCCTTCTGTGGGAGAGCAGCGTTAGGTGCAGCAAAATGGCTTTTTATTCTCTTATTTCTTCCGCACGGCTTGGTACAAGGGACATGAGCTCTATTTCAGGCATTCTTGCCTGGACAAGACCTTTCACTTTAACTCCCCCGGTTCCTACGGGAGGCTGAAAGCACGGAGTAACTGCTACACGAAGGAGCAATCAGCAGGGCCAGGAGCTGTGCCCTGACGGCCAGGAGTCGCCTGCAGAGGCGATCTAAAGAGAACCTATGGGGTGCACATCCTGCCAGACATGAGAGGCTCTGCTTCGGTCACCAGAAAGCCACGCAGTGCTTGGGAAGTTTCACTCTCTTAACGAATTAGGGCGCTGCCTCTTACTGGTAGAAGGAAATCATTTAGTTGCATTTTATCCACTGTATAGGCCAGAGCTATTTCTCTATTAGGTAGGGTTTATGAACTTTTTAAGGGCCCACAAAAATACTTAGTAACTGGGGAAAAGACTTAGTATTGTTGGTGCCACTACATTAAAATTTGATGCAAAATAAAATTAGTGAAGTGCTTAATCAGATGCCAATAAAAACTCATGCTACATCAATTATTAGACTGAATATTTATAAAAATTACATTCTGAAGAAAACTGTAGATTACACTGGCTTACTTCATAAGAATTTCAGATTATTTGTGATGATTGGAGAAATAACAAATCATAAAATTGGACTGTTTGGCCAATTAATTAAGTAGCCAATTATTTTCAAAGGCAAAGCTATAAAAGCACTTTCAGTGTTTCTTCTTTTTCAAAAAAATCTTTCTTTCCTTCTTTTTCTTTCTAATGGAGGTACTGGGAATTGAACCCAGGGCCTCAGGCCTGCTAAACACATGCCTTCCCGCTGAGCCACACCCTCCCCGCCCCAGGCATTTCCTGGGAAGCCACCACATCTCAGGGGGCGTGGATGCCTCTTAGGGTCTGTGGAGGAGCCTTGGGAGGCAGAGCGCCTGCCGCTGGGGGTGCTAACAGGCGCTGATGCTGTTTCAGCTGGTCCTCGGGACCGGCCAGCTTCCTCGCTTTCATGGGCTGATCTCATTTTCCCGTTTGTTTACCTTTATCCTTCATTCATTCACACATTTTGTTTCCTTCGACAAGTACTGCTCGCACACCACGCCACCTTCACTGTGAAGGCCTATCACTTCAAACCCTCTGAAGAGACGAAATGACAACAAAGTAAGAAAGGAAATTTGACATGTGTAATATTCTGAGTCCTTAAATTTGTCCGTCTTCTTCGACTACCCAGAGGTGAAAATAATCTGTGGCCCGCTGAATTCCTTCTGCTCCTCCTATTATTTTAAGATCACCTCGCCAGACTGCAGGGAAAGGGCAGATGAAACTCAGCCAAGGTTAGTCTTCTCCCTTTGAACTCAACGTAAAGGGATGACCGAGGACATCCAACCAACCACCTAAGGCTTCGTGACTCAAGTTATCCACAAGCCTCATCACGACAGAAAACTGAGATGAAAAACAGTGTTTCCCCCCGTGACTCTGGTTAGTTCTCTCCCCGGGCTGGAGCTGTGCTGAGCAAGCCACCCCAGCATCATGCAGCAGACGGGAGAAAATTCGGGAAACAGAGAAAGTGCCTTACAGTGTGGGAACCGCAGGCACTGCCCCGCCGAGCCCCTCCGAGACTGCTCTCAGGGAACACAGACGCCTGTGACGAAAACAGACGGTCAGGACTGGCACCCCTCCTCTGTCCATCAGCACCCAGGACACACTGTAACTAAGGAAGAGCAACACCTGCCAGGAGCAAGCCCTGAAAAGCATCATGATGGGAGACGTGCAGGGAAAGCTCAAAACCACCTCCGCGTGCGTGTGGAGCTGTGCAGCAGAAGAGGGGTGTGCACAGATCTAAGGGAGAGACGTTTTAGCTGCGGTCAACCAGCATGCAATGGAATCTCCAACAAATCCTTTAAGTCTATGACTCTGAAAAATATCCCTCGCTAAGGAAAAACTTGTGAATCTAGATTTAAAACAAGCAGATAGTTCAAATATTCTGAATTTTGTCATGGCGTCCTCATATGTGATGCTCAGAAAATGACTCCAGTAGGAAGTGACTTTGGAATAAAACAGCATGTGGATTATAGGTCAGTATTTTATAACTCTTTGAGAACTGCTAAATAAAAAACAGACTGTTTCATTGACTTGAGAATCCTTTGCAAATTAATCACTGCAGGTAAACAGAAGTTTACAATACCGTGAATGGTGATGTTAAACTCTGCCCAGCTTTAAGGGGCTTTCGTTTTCCCTGCTTGCCCTGGAGCTGGTTTGCTGGGCCAGTTATGTATCTAATTCGAACCTGGACAATCTGATGGAAATTCAGAAGGTAATTAACAATAGAACAGAGCGACTTCGACTCCTTAAATTTCTCGCATGGCTTAAGTACCTTGTATATAAAACTAGAAGTTCCCAAAATAATATAATATAGTGGACTAATGTCTGTTAAGGCCATCAAAGCAATAAAAAGCTATCTTTCTTTTCGCCAGTAGATTAGGTAAGCGTTGCCAACACAAACACGTGTCTTCCTCAGCCATTACCAGCTGCGGGGAGAAATAAAACCCAGATCTAGCCAAAGGGGGCTGCGCGTGTAAGTTCCACTTAAAGGGGCGACACCCGCAGAGGGGCTGCAAGCCGGTCACATACACCGCAATCCGAGCAGGGGCGCGGCAGTGGCAGGGGTGCGCATGCGCGGTGGGGGTGGGGTGGGTCGGTGGGGGAGGGGGAGGGGTGTGGGAGGTACACGCACCCGGTAACTCCCAGCCGGCCCGGCTGCGCTGTACGGATACAAGGGCTGGAGGATGAAAGCAAACGGCAGATTTTTAAACCCTTGGAAAAACAGCAACAAATACAGTGACAAGGTAACCACCATGCTTTCAGTTACTTTCAGTCAGTTATCGTGACAGCCAAATTACTGCACAACGGTTAGAAGGAAAAGAAGTCCACGTAGGCATCGTGTTTTCAATAAATCTGATAGACGGAAATTCAGATTTACGAGAAAAATAAATGCGACATGACTTCTAACTTCAAAATAGTAAACTCCCCCCTAAATCTTTGAAATGTGACTGCTTTCTGGTCATTTCTTTCCAGGCATTCCTGGAAGCAAGGGCTGGGGAATGGGACAGAACAGTGACAAGGTCAACATCACCACCAAGAGCACAAAACCCGCAACTCAAAATCCCGGGTTAAGAAAGTGCCTGGACGTGTTAATACACACATCTCCCCACGGGAACAGTGTGGCAGGACGGGCGTGTTCACTTCTGCCCAAGGGTCCCAGGAGCAGTCTTCAAGAGACTGAAGGAGCTGTAAGGCTGCTCCAGCCGGCCAGAGCTGGCACTTCCTGTCACGGGGCATCCACACTCAGAACACCGTGGGCTGGGGCAGTGCCTGTGCGGGGTGCGCTGGGACACAGAGCCAGCTGGCTGGTGTGGCCTGAGACTGAGCACCAAAGAGCATCATGACTCGTTCACAGGCAGAGGCCGGAGAAAGCCCACAGCTCAGGGCCACGAGCCGGTCAGGGCGGTGGGACCAGGGATGAATCACACAGCAATGCAAAGGACAGGACGACGGAAGGAGATGGCAGTTCAACCTCCAGAGCGTGATCTGCTCTTGAAGCTCTGACTCTGACTTGTATACCTGTCCCAAAACAGGCCGAGGGCCTCAGGGCCGGCCTTGTAAAAACAGGAAACACGGGGGACAGCGAGCCAGAGAAACAGCGCTGTCTCCCCCACTTGCAAAGACGGAGGAGTCAGATTAGGCACAAAAGCCTTCCAAATTGCTTCCTGGACACATTTACAAGAGAAAAGTGTTTTTGAAAACACAAAGGAAACCCCAAATGGGGAACAATTGCTGGAAAAGGAGAGACCCTAGAGACCAATTTTTTGGACTTGAGCTTGTGAAAATATACACATAATGATCCTCCTTTTTCTTAAACTCCTTTTGTTAAAAAAAATATATATATGGTCTTAAATTATTTTTGATAATGTTTTAAAAGGCTGAGAAAAGTCTTAGCAAGTTAGTCAAGCCAACTGAAGCGCTGACTGAGCTTTGCTCTTTGGGCTTCACGCAGAAGGGGTTGAAGCACCCACGTCCATGAAACCAGCACTGAAAGCGACAGACGGAAAGAAGGAGAGGGAGGGAACAGGGACATGAAAGGAGGACACACCCGGTTTCCATTCTGGGCAGACAGGGGTTTGGGAGCAAAGCCACGACGGGAGAGCCCGAGGTCGGAGCAGAAGAGTCCCTGTAATCAGAGAAAACGGGCCGGAGGGGAGAAAGGCTCACAGCTTCATTTCATCTCAAGAGGCATCGTCGGTTCACATAAACTGACTTCTACAACACAATCCGTCAAGGACATGCACTTGTGGGGAAACAGCAAAAGTGATCGGAAGGAATCAAGACAGTCCAGCGAATTGATGAAACCGTTACAAGGGACAAATCGGGACTTCGGAGTCTACACACAGGCAGACATTGACTTGATTAATTCTCACTGACAGCAAGACCACAGGGGTTTTGAAGGTCTTTGTAATTTGAGTTCTCATTTTTAAAGTTTGGTGGGAAAAACTCAAAATCAGGAATTTGCAGAAATATTAGCCTCTATTTTATGTAATAAAATATTTCATTTGTGATGATCTCTGGCTTGGCCTCCTTGATTAGGGATTCACACGGTGTGTGTGTGCTCAGGATTCACAGAAGACAGGATAAATTCAGGGGTGTGGTTCTGAGGCCAACAGTCTGCACAACATTTCTGGGGGATACTACTATGTACATTAACTCTTTCCCCAAACAAAATATTCTATCCAAACTAAAGGTCCTTGAGGAGGGAGCTAGCTGTTTCAGATCCCCGTGCCAGCAGCATCCTAACAACCACACAGACACGGGACAGCCCTCGAAGGCGAGGAAGTAGTTCTGTTCAGGTCACGTGATGGCGTCTTAAGACATCCCATCACGGCTCCAAGATCCTGTGACTCGTACCTGTTGTTCGTAAGCCTTGAATGAGCTACAGCAAAATCACCCAAGGGGCAGGTCCGTGAAGTTCTCGGGTGCACAGGGAGGAATGTTCTAATATTTAACACCGACACTACTGTGGCTCTACCTGGTTTGTTTCTATCTATTCTTTTTTCCCCCACGTGTTCTCTAAGGTTCAGCACACATGCGTTGTTATGACACTTCCTGGCAAAATTAATTTCTCCTTAGCATCCTGTTTACCGCTGCTCTGGTGTATCCCATAGGTGGGTCTGTCTTCTGTTCTACAAGTAAATGCTTCCAGAGGACCTAACTCACCTGCTTATTTTTGTGACTTTCCTACCAAAACTAGTTCCTTAATGTTTGCTGAGTGAATACAAACCTTACCTAGAACCAAGTCTTACCTAGTAGGGCTCTTAAATAACTTAGAAATATCTGCCTCTCAAGATTTATGTGTGTTTGTTAAGGACGGCTTTTGTTTTGTTGTTTGTTAAGGAGGAAGGCTACTGCACAGACATCTGGATTTGGATTTGCTTTAACTTTCATTCTAAGTCTAGTCCATCCCTGAGAAACTGCCACAAAATATGCAACGTAATTCTGTCTCCAGGAATTCTCAAGGAACGAACTTCAGGGCTGTCTTATTTTCTTCCTTTCCATTAATTCTAACGGCTAACTATCCGCATACTTTCCTTCACTGTGCTTAGCTGAGCACGACAGTGTGTGTTCAAACATTTGAATGTGAATTCACACGCAAGACAGTGCGGTAAATCTGATTTAAATATATCATGTTAATTATTGCCCCCAAGCTGACTTTAACATCTATCCAAATGAAAAGTCATAACATAGACATTAAAAGAGAAAAAGTGAGTGGAATTTACACATACAAGATGGCATGCTACAAAACCTGTGGTTTCTGAAGAGAGGATGTGAAAGATTTAAATGGAAACCAACCAACGTCTCCTCTCTGGATGATGACAAAGTAGAGAATCTGCCGTCACCGCTGGAGCTGGAATTCTGAGCAGCAGAGAAAACAGAGTAAGTGGTGCACATGTCCTTAACACCCTCAGAGCACCACCTGTCCCCATCAAAAGGCAAATCAGAAATCACACAACCCAACCAGTGTCAGTGCCCCGGGAATGCCGGCGCAGCTGAAGGACCAACGGACTCGACTGCAGCAGAAACTCTCAGCAACCGGAGGTTCTAAGCTGTGCTGACGTCTCAGGGACGTCGTGTGCTTTAACTATTACTATTATTAATTATTGACATTTAACTATTATTACTACTTGTAATTACTAAATCTCACAATGGACTGTCTATAACCTCTTAGTCTAGACCTTCCATATTACGTATCTAGGTAACTAAAATTCTGTTTATTGCACAACTTTCATTCTTTCCTCACCCAGACCTCTGAGGGGTACTGTTGGGCCCCAAAGCTCCAGGGAGGCAAGTGGGGCCGGAAGGAGCTGCACCCACTCCCAGCTGAGAACCATCCACAGAATGCTGGGTCCTGCAGCCATGGGGTGGCGTCAGCATGGCTTTATGAAGATCAGATCCAACCAAGAGTCTGGATGGGAAGGCGATACATGTGACCTTTACAGAGGAAGGCACAGAACAGCACTTCTCCTCCCGGGAGGCTCTGGGTTCCCTTGTGGTGGAGACAGACATTTCTGTTCCCTCACCCTCAGTCCGGTCCCCTCATTCCTTCCCACGGACTGGTATTTCCCACATCGATGAGGTTTCTCCTTCCCACCCAGCTTTTCCCCAAGCCCACGCTCACACTATCCCTGGAGTTTTCTGCTCCTGGGTTTTCCCGTATAAGATGCTGCATTAAATGTAGGTTATTTGGTTCTTTAATCATTATATTTCCTGATTATTTATTAAATCCATTTTATATCCAGTTTTGCTCTGTGAACAGTTTTATTATCAAGTTCTTTTTGTATTTGATTTCTAGAGGCATTACTTAGCTAAATCAAAGGCACACTTTCACCATTTCAACATGAAAACCAAAGATTGAAATATATGGATATTATGTGCCACGTAGAGCTCGATGTCACGCTGCACTGTCACAAACATGCTGCAACTACATGGTCGGGATGTCCTAAAGGGGACTGTCGTGTTGGGTAGAAGCTGGACTAAAGAACTTCTCCAGTAACTTCCAGCTCTCAACTATGATTCCTTGTGATCAATATGGTGAGACTGTGCAATTAGGGTGAAAAGTTACTAACGAGTCAATGTAACTTCAGGATTGCAGCTGTTGTCCTGCAACGCCAGCAGTGAATACCTCGCCGGGATGCTGAGCACAGAAAGCAGAACTGTCAGCATCCCACGAGCCCAGAACGGCATGTTGCCTGCTTCTGGCCGGGGGTGCTGCACCACCTTAACGGGAAACGTAACCGAACCAGAGAACGTCCAAAGGCTGTCAGTGCAAAAGGCAACATGAATAGGAAGACACAGTCTTCAAACTGGGAGGGTTTTTAGTCTGGGAATGAGAAAAACTTAGGTGAAACAGAAGCGAACGCAATCCTTAACAGGGACGAGAGGGTAAAACTTCATCAGATGGTTTCAGAAAGCTCAGGTCTGAAAGAAAAACCTGAAAATATAATTTAAATGCACATATGATATTTCTTAGTAAATATAATTAAGACAAATGAAAAGAAATAGTATTTTACACAACTAGGAAAATTTATTACTACAAGAAAAAAAAGGAAGCACATGGAAGAACAGGAAAATTTTAGGTAATTTGATGTGTAAGTGATCAGCAGCAGGTCATGAAACTGAATCCAAACGCATCGAGTTTCGCCATGTGAAATCCCCAGCCACCTCCTTGAGAAATCCTAAAGCCTTCCCTTACTTCTCTCTAACTCCCCTGCTTTGGTTCCTTCCTTCTCTCCCTGCAGAGCACCCCTCTGCACCTTTTCTACTTCCCGCCCCAGAGCTGTGGGCCCTCCCGGCATTAGTATTCAGGGAAACACGGGCTGGAATATGTGTGTCTTTAAAATTACACAGAGAAGAGGGGCACTGTGGACACGTCGAATTTAAGAATATTTGAAAGCTGGATATACTTAATATACACAGTATACACATGCACATACACTCAGGGCGATGAAACAGTGAAAGAGATAATATTTAATTCTAGCCCTTTTAATACATCAGCGAGTCCTTTCAGTATTGACCTCCCACACTTAGAATGTCTGAAGACTAACAGTCTAAGAATGCCAACCAGCTGAGAAACATTAGCTGTCATTCTATCATGCGCTCGGAAAAAAAAGGGGGAGAGAGAGAGAAACAAGAGAATGACTATAGCACAGAAAAAAAACCAAAGAAGCTAAATTAAGCAACATTTTAAATAAGCTTTGCGGCAACCTGTTGGAATTCTGTGTCATGCAAGTTTACTATACTGACCCCGCCAGATCTTCTATTCAGGGACTGGGATCCATATAGTTCTCCATCATAACCATTTGTCTGTTTCAGTGAAGAAAAGGAGAAAAACTGGTATCAGCGCAGAAAGGAAGACACAGGGACAGACCGGCAGGAAAGACTTAGCTGGGTGTGAACTGAGCTTTGGGAGCGGAGCGGAGCGACAAGCCCAGGGAGCACCCGGCCTGGTCAGCCCCCCAGCGCCTCTGCGCTTCCCACCTGCTCGCTGCATCTCAGGAGAAACCAGCGGAACTGGAGGCACTCACTGGGGAAGAAGTGTTTACCGTGGCGGTATAGCCTCTGTCTCAGCTTCTCATTCAGCCAGTCTCTCTACTTTATTTTTTAAAATGAAATCTGAGGACCTATTTCCTGATCTCATAATTTGTTCTCCTGAGAATGACGAACTTAGCCGTCCACCTGCGTCCTTTCTCTTCTGAATTCCGAGCCAGAGTCGGGCTTTCTAAAACAGCTCTCCTTCACCTCTAAGGGAACTTCTGCTGATTCAAGGTAAGAGCCGACAAGTGTCAGGGACATAACCAGCTCTCGAGACAGAAAGAGGAGGAGCGGTCCAGGCAACTGCTAAACATGGAAGGAGATGCCGGGGGCCCTGGATGTGGGTCCAGATTCCAAGTAGAAGCTTTGCCACGTGACCTTTTGCAAGCTGTTTAATCCCCGGGAACCTCTCCTTCCTTGGCTGCGAAAATGTGCACAGTAACGCGTACTTTACTAGGCCACTGTGAGGATTAAACCTGATTAAAACGGGTGTCCCCGGTGCCCAGAACGGTGTCCTTGTGCAGGACGTGCTGACTGGCTGGATCCGTGAACACGTGTGCACGGCCCCGAGCACTTTGGAAGAACGGATTCATTTCCTCGTTCAAAGAGCCAGGCACGTTATGTGCAGCTGGGGCGTGAATGAAGAGCCCCCGTCTGGGGTTCCAGACAGATTACACGTCCGGACCTACGGAGCCTTGACTGTGGGACTACTTCCTTGTGTTACAGCTCAACAGCGAGTCCATTTCAGGTTTCTAAATGAAAAAGAGTACGTAGAAGTCCTTCAAAATCAAATCTGAAAGCTCAGTGAGTCCATTAAAACATTTCTGAAATAAGCCTGATGGTAAAAGAACCTTTGGAGACGGGCAGGAGTTTTATTCAGCCTCATTTTCTTTTTCTCTCTCCACTGACGAGAGTATTTGAAATAATCTTGCCTGCCCAGGGCTTGTACATTTCAGACCTCCGCCTTACTCCTTTGACATCTGTTCAGAAACTAGTTTCCAGAAAAAAATTAATATAATATTGAGGGTTAACATCAATTTTAGATGACTTTTACTTTGCTAATAAATAAGGAAGAAAAATGTATGACATGATATACACCCTTTGGCTTTCCGCTGCTGCTTATAAAACACAGACCGCTTTCGAGGAATTTTCCCTTTTGGTCTTCTCATTCTTGAGTTTGGCCCACAGCACAGAGCAGAGGGTGGGTGGAGGCTGGCACATACTCCCTCATCTGTCCGTCTCTCTTGGCTTTCCATGAATATGCAGGAAAAACCTTTATTCTGAAGGCTTTGTTGGGGGGAGGGTGTAGCTCAGTGGTAGAGCACATGCTTAGCATGCACGAGGTCCTGGGTTCAATCCCCAGTACCTCCTCCAAAAATAAATAAATAAGCCAAATGTCTCCCCCTAAATTTTTTTTTTTAAATAAATTGAAAAAAGAAAAGATCGAGTGAAAGCTTTGTGGAACAGCCACACTTCTCTGTTGTACTGAAATTCTTTCACGGAGAACACACTCCTACGACATCCCCCCAAACCTACATTCCTCACTGACAACAGCTCTGCAGTGAAAAGGCCTTGGACCTTCTTAAAGAACGCCACCCACTTTCCCCTCTCGGACAGTTTTCCTGGGCTGTATTTAGATGGAGGGAGCTGTTCTGAGGTGGCATAGCAGGGTAAAGAGCTGAAAATTAACTGCAACAGCATGAGAAGCAAAGCCCACAGAAGGCACACCGACTTCATCTTAAGTCAGGTCTCTGATGCTCAGTTAGCTTTGCTCTACGGAATATGCTTTTCCCAACACGCCTCCCTGCACAGAGCACCTGCACTGCGGTCACCTGGGCCCCGTCCTAGGGGATCAGAACACCTGGAGGCCCAGAAATATGCATTGTAACAACCCCCCACCCCGCAGGGGAACTTTACACACAGTAACACTGAGAAACACTGCTCTAAGAAAGAACAAAGTAGAGAAGACATTCACAGCAATCAGCGTTTTCTAAAAGAAGGTAAGTAAGCCAGAAGAAGAAACACTCTCAAAGCCAGTTATTCTCATGGCAATTTGGGGTTAGTCCGCTAACGACCACCACGCAGTGCTATCAAAGCATCCACCAGCTTCACATGTGACCGTGCAGCAGTCAACCATGCAAATTAACAGTTCTAGATATTTTTCTACTGAGTCAAAAGACAGACCACCTTCAGAAGCATTAGAGATGGGGAACTAAGTAAGAAAGGCAAACGTCAAAGCTTTCAAGCCAGCCTCACAGTGGAGACGAGCAGCCCCCAGGACGCTCAGAGGCAAGTGTGCCTGCAGGCCTGTGGCCCTGTTAGTTACCATCTTAAAGGCTAACATGCATTCCAAAAACAGAAATTGGAAACGAAAAGTGGAATGAATGAAGCGCAAAGGCCTTCTGGTGACCAAGTACGTAATCTGCTACAGTAACTTCAGTGCTGAGCGTGATTAATGCTGGTGAGATTAAATTCTTCTTCCTTTTAGAGTCATTTAGGTTCACAGGTTTTCAGAAAGCATACAGTGCGGAAACTCTTCTAGACGGAGGAAGGGAAATTCTGAATTTAAATCTGAAGGATTTGTTTTTGTTACTGAAAGAGAGTCTTTCTCAAAGAGCACCTTCTGGCCAAAGAGCCAAATCGGACTTTTATTTGAACGGATGCAGATTAGGAAAATAATACATTTTTCATTAGATAAAATGACTTTAAAGCTAATCTTTTAAGGAAAAGTAGAGGCATTCTTGGGAATTCTTGATCTGATTTGAGGCCCCTGGAAGAAGACACCACATTTTCCATCTTAGTATCAGCGGCTGCTGGCCAGTGCCTGGCAACCAGTGGTGCTCCCGGACCGCCTGGTGAGTGAGGCGTTCAGGCACCCACACCTGGGCTCCTGGGCCTGCCCGCAGGGACCAGAGCTGCACCCAGGGGGCTCTGGGAAGAGGAGTGCTCACTCTGGTGGGTGCACCTCTCTCTTGCCCTCAGTCCCCAGGTAAGGACTGGTGGACGGCACACGTGTCTGTTCAAACAAAGACGTCCTTGGCTTTTTAGACAAATACCCATGAGATTAGTGGAACACCGTAGGTTATTATCTGCCACACAACACTGTTAGGATCACGCCACAAAGTCTCTCCCACTAGCTCACCCAGGCGTAGGGTCCCCCATACTCCAAGTCAGGCTGAGACTGGCAGTAAAGACGGAAAAGAAAAACAACAGGAAACAGTTGCCAAAAATCAATTAAAAGCTCAGTAAAACAGAAAAACATAAAACACAAACCAGGCAATCTGGAAAATCTTAACAAAATTACATTTTTTTCAAGACTTCTTGGATCTCATGTGCATTGACAAATGTAATTACGTCAGAATGACGGCTACCATAACATCCATTAACATTACATCAATTTGCCTCCATGGCAAATGTTGCTATAACCCATGAAATCTGAGGCAGTTTGAGCGATCCCATTTCCTCCTCTGCTACTAATTTTATTTATATTAGGCAAGAGGTGAACAGATGCAGCATACTCAATCTTTTAAATAAAGAAAATTAAGAACGTAGGTTATCTCAATCTAGATCTTCTGAGAATGTGCATACGAACACCAGGAAAGTAAAATTTCTTCCATTTTTAAGGGTTTGTCATCACTGTCAGTTGAATGAAGAAGGCCTGTGTTTAGAGAAAGTCAAGAGACAAAATATACGGTTTTGAACTTTGCAAACTAAAGATTTCAGAATATTGAAATGCACGAAGCACAGGGACAGACCGAGGAGGGACCCCCGCAGCGGGGCGGTGGGAGCCTTGGGCTTCCGGGCCCCGGAGGGGCTTGGGGGATGGGTGCTGGCCCTGGCCCTGAGCAGGCCTCCTGTGAAAATGAGGAGTTTTGACTCTCATCTCCAGGACCCAAGTTCTCAAGGTCTGTGGTTTCTGAAGAGAGTTATTTCTTTAGATGGAGGGCATCACGGGCAAAATTAGTGTAGCCGACCACCGGCTAGCAACAAAAACCGCGTTTGCTCCCGACTTTCTGCCTTCTCCCTCTCTCTTACTTACATCCTCACTGGGGACCTCCCCTATAAAACTGTGTATCCTGAAACAAACAGGCTGGACATCTTGGCGAGGTGTGGTGTCCGGCACAGAAATTTAACTCATTTCTGGTTAAAATTGTTGAAAATGAAATAAATGCTATAAACACCCTAACAATCACTAGTAGCACAATAATTTAAAACTCTCTGGGGTCAGGAAACCTTCTGAGAGTGTTAAGAAAGTGACAAGTTATTTTCCTAGAAAAATGCAAGTACATACAAAATCTTGAAAACAATTTCAAGGAGGATCACAGATTGAAAATGATAATTTGATAGAGATGTGGGTTCTTTCTCCAAACTCTCTCCTATTCTCTCTGGAGCCTGAATTAATTAGGTTTGCTTTCACTGTATCAAAGCTCCCCTGTCCAGCTCACCAACGTCCACGATGCTGAGAACAACGGTCACGTGAGCCCTATGCTCACGTGATCCTCCCCTCCTTGAAAGCGTATCTTCTTCACTTGGTTTCAAGGACCCAACCTTCTCCTAGGCCTGCTCAACAGCTGTAATTTCAGTCTGTTGTCTACAGATTCTGCAAGATGAGTTTTGCGTTGATAATGTTTCAGTTGCATAAATCTTGCTTCCTCTTGCGGGAATCAGGTCGGGAGGGTCTAAGAGGAAGTTACAACCATATGGCGAGGGAGAAAGTTTCAAACAGCAAGGAAGCTCTTTAACTGACTTCACCGCTGAACTGTAACTTTCCGGCAAAATCACTATGGCTCTGCTTTCGGCACTGCAAGGACAATGACAGTTAACAGGATAACTGCAGTGTACAGCTGTCCTTCAGTATCCATGGGGGACTGGCTCCAGGACCCCCGCAGACACCAAAATCTGCGATGCTCAAGTCCCTTGTAAAACAGCACGGTATTTGCACATAACCTACACACACCCTCCCTGAAAGATGACTTTCAGTCATCTCTAGATGGCTTATAATACCTAGTACAAGGTAAACACTATGTGAATAGTTGTAAATACAATGGAAGTGCTACGGAAACAGTTGCCAGTGTGACAAATTCGAATTTTGCTTTTTGGAATTTCTCCCCTGCTGTGTAGCCTTGGGCGTGTCATCTAACTTTCTAGTCTCAGTCTTTCAAAAATACGAATTTAATATCTACATTGCAAGGTTGTGAAAATTAAGCAGAACATAGTAGAAGCACCTAGAACATAAAAAAAAAATTCGACCTGTGGTTGGCTGAATCATGCGGAAACTGGCATATGGGGATATGGAAGGCTGACTGTGTCACCTGCATGTTTCACTGTTATAAAGAGCCAAAGTAAATGCCCACTTAGTGCGTATATAAAGGAGGTCTAGGAGTGATATGATTTAACCATCACGGTGATTAGAAACGAGACTTCCGCTGTATCTAGTCCTTCAGTAAAACAGAGCTGGCTACACTGAGACCAAACTATTACCAGCAGTGAGATACAGCTCTAACCCGATGCTGAACTAAACGGACATGCGCAGATTAATTTACTGACTCAAAGAACTAAGCAAAAGAACAATTTCACTTCCCAATGTTTTTAAGTATAATTATGAAGGTTTTGGGAATGTCTGAGGAAAAAGTGTGCATTTGTGCTCATCAACCATCAGGCTCTCAGGGATGAAGCGCTTCCATTCCAGCTGATGAGAGGAAAGGCTCCTGAAGCTGGCCGGCCCCGGGGCCGGACAGAGCCAACCTGCTCCGATTCCCCTCCAGGCAGCCTCCCGCAGCTTTCACGGGGCTGCACAAAACATCGCTGAGTGGTAGTTAATTTAACTCGTGTGCTGCTTTAAGTGGGATTCCAGTTTGCTGGGCAGCATGTACGCACACAGGCACGCGGACTTCTGTCAGGGCAGACCGCGCCCCGTGCCTCCACGCCCCCTTCATCCCGCCAAGAGACGACGTCGTCAAAGCAGGCAGTTCTGTGATGTGGACAACAGGGGAAAATGGTGACTTCCACTCTTGGGGGAAAGACACAATAAAAGTGCCTCTGGTGTGTGTGTGTGTGTGTGTGTGTGTCTGTGTGTGTGTTGCTTTCTCTTCTTTTTTTGGCAAGGGGGAGGGAATTAGGTTGGTTGGTTGGTTGGTTGATTTAATGGAGGGACTGGAGATTGAGCCCAGGACCTCGTGCATCTACCTTCCCCCAACAAGTGCTTATGCTTATTAATAATCTCTCTACACAACAAAAAACATCCCAACATTGAATAGATTTTAAAGAAGCATCCCGTCAGTGAGACGCTGACTGTGAGGCCACAGGCTAATGAACAAGAACTGGAAGGCAAGGACGGAAGGGCATGAACCTGGACACAGACTGGACCATGCAAACACAGCCATCCCGTTACTGACCCTCAGGCTTCCACGGCTACCCACTGACATGCGCTCATCTTCATCAGAAGCCTAGTGAGAGAAAGGATGAAAACCACCATGAGGAGACGACGTGACAAACACACAGAACCCACGCCCAGCTCTCAGAGGGCAGCGGCTGAGCCCACGTCCAGCCGTGGGCAGATCAGCCCCTCTGAAAATCCCAGTGGACGTGAACCCAGGTCTCCACCAGATGGGCTTTGCTTGTGCCCCTCTGTCTAACGGGGGGCTGCCTCCGGATTACGTGGCTTCAAATTAATTTCACTGAAGTTGTGGAGTTTACTTGGCTGGTAACCTACACATACAGATCTTAATGTTTATTACTCTGCAAATCATTCGTGGGTATTCAGTAGCAAAAAGAAGTTCAAAAACTGTCATGAACATATTAACACTGAGAAATTTTTCAAACTTAGGTCAAAATACTAAAAGCTGAGTTCACAGTCTTTGTTTAGGTAATGGTATCAGTGTTAGTTAATTTTTTTCATAAGATATATATATATATACACACACACATATATATATAAGGACAGAGAGAGAGAGAGAGAGAGAGAGAGAATTTATGCATTTCAGCCATGCAAACCCGTGGGGGGTGAAGGGGCCCAGTACTAACCGATGTGTTCCTTCTGGATCTGCGTGAGTAGCGCTCACTGTCTTCCTACCAAAGCAACAGAGGAAACAGCACAGAAAGGTCAGAGGCAGACACAAGAGAAGCCTTCCACAGTCCCACTGCGTTGTAACACAGTATCTCTGATGTGAATGTCAAACAAATATTTTCTTTGCTTTTGCATAAAGGCTTCAATTGTAACACTGGGGGAAATATTTTCTGCTAAGGGTGGGGACGGAGGACTTCAGCACACAAATTACTAACATATTTCATTTTGGCTTTAAAAACAAGTGGGTGTTGAGTGAGAAATTGAGTGAGAAATTTTTTTTCCTAATCTATAATCTGATTCATTTAAATCGACCTATTTTTTTCCCCTTACATTCAGAACCTTATTCTCTTCAGGAAGCAGAAGAGAAATCATTTCCTTAAGAGAGCTAATAAGGATGTCAGCCTCTCTACTGTTTTCTGTGCATTCTAAGATGCACACAGTTCTTTGCATTTGGACATCTCTGAAGCTGGGGCACATCTTAACTTTGATTAAAGTTGCTCACAATTTTAATTAGCAACATTTTTTTCCTTTCTCAGTGGTGTAAAAAAACAATGACACATCTTTTAACTGTGTCTTAAGATTTGATAAAAATACATCTGCCTGTGCCATATAAGCCTAAAATAATGGTTTACGCTTACCAGAGGCTGAAGTTAATAATTTTTTAAATAGAGGGACTGTGTGCTTTTTCTATTTCAGCAACTATTCATCTATGTTTACACAGGTCTCTAAGCTGTTAGGAGGTAATTTATACACCTTTAGATTATTTCATGCATAAGGGACATTTAAGAGGACATTTCCATACTGGCCAGGTTCTCAAATGCTACATGATGTCAACAAGGTGACCAGGACGGGAAGAGGTGGATGAATTCCTAAGAGAAGGAGTGAAGCTGTGTCTCTCGGGACCAGTGGGCAGCTGGCGGAACGCCCCCTCTTCTAGAATCTTCCATTGTGGGGTAACACCTCCTCCGGGAGGTTCATGAGGATGGGGCATCATTAGGGTGAGGGATCGACCAGCTTTTAATTGACTCTGAAAGACAGGTAAGTGGTGCCAGGGAATGGTGTGAGAAGGTCACGGAATTTTCTCACCAAACAAGAGTGGTTTCTCAGGCACAGCGGACGAGGAGAGGGGGTACCCAACAGCGAAGGCGGATACAGTCGTGATGAGGGTGACTGGGCAGCTGGCCTCAACCACGAGTGAAGGAAACAGAGCTGGGTCCCCACTAGAGCTGGCTAGGTGGGACGGTCACCGGAAAGTTCACGCCGGGGGACGCCCACCTAAGGGTCCCGAGTGCAGAGTCCTCTGCAGGGGAGGTCGGGAGGCGGTGGGGGTGGGGACCCCCACAAACGCTGGCCTGGAGACTCCAGGAGCAGCTGCTACTGAACAGACCTGACAAAGCGCCTGGCCGGGGAGGTAAACCACCAGGCCAGATACAGCCGTCCCTGGAAGGAAGCCTCCCAGTGTTGGATTGGGGGCAGCAGGAACCTAGCATGGAATTAACCTGGGCGAGAATCGCATCACAGACCCTTTAAGCTTCTGAAAGTCATTTTCAAGGCCTACCATCCATTGCTCGATGTCACCCCACTTCGTATCCAGCCCGTAGTATTTCTACAGACAGAAAGGAAAGAAAATTAGGCAAGAAATGAAACGGGAAGTGTGTTAGACACTGTGCTGATACGCATTTCCAAGCGCTGCCCAAGCCGCCCGCGGAGGGGAGCAAGCCAAGGCGAAGCCGGGAATAACGCGGCCTGGCTCTGCGGAGGCAGCCGCCCCCAGGGCGGCCTGGGGCCCCATCCCGCTCCCTCCGGGCAGGACGAGAGGGCCCAGGATAGCGCATTCCTGCGGCAAGGGGCGGCCTCCGTAGAGACCAAGAATTTCAACTGAGCCCAGCAGCATCTCAAGCCCCTCTGCAAAGCGATTCATGCCTTCCGAGTCATTCTCCTGCAGGAATAAAACACTGTTTAGGAGAAGCAAAAGCTGACAGCCATGCCCCATGTTGCTACTACAGGAATGCGAAAACCAGAGGAAAAGCGGGAGAAGCTGTGTGATGCCCCTAGGTTTCTGGTACGCTTGCTCCAGCTACCTGATAGCAGGGCTAAATTTAGGCCCCGGGAATGCCGGCACTGAGACTGTCTTCACAGCACGCCACTCAGCAACGCGGCCAAGCAGTCTGCTGCAGAAGGGGTCCTGGCCCAGGGGAGAGACGCTGCATTTGGCCTTTTCTTTTGCTAACACCCCCAGGTTTTTTCCTCGCTTGTCTAAACCACGATGGCCCAAGTTAAAATTAGAAAAGCAGATTCAGTGGCACTATTATTCCTAAATACAGCAATCCCGCATTTAGGTGGGAAGCCAGGTGTGGTCTCAAACAACAGGGCTTTGCTCTTGTCCTCACCTCTCCCTCAAGTTCCAATCAGAAAATCAAAACAACCAGCCAAACCTCCGTATCGTAAAACACGGATGAGAGTTCCCTCCTGCAAGTTAAAGCTCATCACTGGAAGGAGAAGTCTGGATGTGAGAAGGACAAGACAATTTCTGAAACTCTTTAACAATTACCAAAGCACTGCTGCTGTGTCTGGTTGTTTCCGTTCACTCTGAAGGCTGGCCAGGTTTAACCTACATGGCTTTCCGATGGTCTTGCCCCTTCCTCTTAGAGATGGTGTAAGAAGAAAATTGGAAGAAGAAAATTAGGAGGGAGAACTTGGCAATGCTTTAACAATTCCACCAGTAAGAGCTCTAACGTCAAGAGGACATGCTGCGAGTCTTTTCCTGTAAGTCCCTTTCCTGAGGCTGTAAGTTGAGAAAGGGAATAAAAGCAAGCACTGCCCCAGGTCATGTTTTAATATCGGTTTAAGTGAAACGCCACAGCTGACGGCTATCTGGGACCCAATTCACGTTCCCCCAACTCACGCTGTCAAATTCCAGCAGGGGACATGTGATGCCGTCAACCCTCCCTGGACCCTACGGCTTAGTCACAAAGACGGAAAGAAAACGTTTTGTTTTTAAAAGGAGGGAGCCTACATAAAATCGCAGAAAGTAAATTCCAAAAGATGTGTCATCAGTTTTTCTATTTCCAAAGTTTCCTTTTTTTTTTTTTTTGCCAATTCTATACCTCTATCACATCCTGCATCGCTCTTTTTTCTGATAAAAGTAAGACACAGTGTGGAACGGCTTTCGTCGAGTTCACAGGCGGCCGTGTGAACAGCTGCTGGAACTGCAGCTGCAGGTCCTCTCCTTCCGTGGAGGGAGGACGCCCGCGGGAACAGTAAGTGGGGTCAACCAGCAGTCCTGGGGTGAGCGAGGCGGCAACACGGCAAACTGCAGAAAGTGCGCCAGATTTCAAACGGAAGCCGCGATGATTAGCCAGTGAGTCATGCAGAGGGAAGCGGGAGCCGCGCGGGGGCAGAAGGTGCCTGACTTTCAGAAACAGCTTTGATTCAGCAGAAGAGAGACGTGATGCCCAAGAGCCAATGGGCCGGCAGAGAACCTTACTGCCTTCTTTCCCTTTTCCCGGGTCTCAGAGACAAGGAGAGCCTTCCCTTCGGGGCTGCGCATCTTTACTATAAACGTGTGTACCCGCCTTTACACGGAGGGCGACCTGAGCTCCCTCCAGTTTTACCTGGCATACAGATGGCCGTTCTGACAACGTGCTAATGGCCTATCCCCGGGGAGTTAGAAAGAAGAAAACGGTCTTGACTCAGCCCAGACGGGAATGACTCAAAGCGGAAGGGACAGATGACAGTCCCCGGTCTAGGCTTCGGGCAGTGATGTCCTGCTCCGCCGGTTACCGTGACGGCCCCCGGCTTCGCCTTTTACCTGGTAAACTCCCACCTAGACCCTTGCTTTGAGACACATTTCCAAGGGGACCCTGCAAAAACTAGCCACGTACAAAGAGATCCTGGCACCTGCCTAACTGGTTTCTTGACACTTTGGGGGACAGTAGTTATGCAGTGTGAGGGGGGCAGGAAGGAGGGGCAATCTGGAACTGGAGCTGGTAAAGCAATCTAAAGACAGAGTTTTAAATTTACTGACATAGTGTGTTTTAAGGGCCTGCACCTTCTAATCTATGAAATTAAGTCACCTTGTTTTGATTTTCTTAGTTTCTCTAAAAGACAAATATAGTTCTTCTTTATCTGTAAATTTGTAAAATAAATTAAAAAAAAACTATTATAGACGTCCTAAGTAACAACAATTCATTCACGGGAAAGACTCACTGGCTACACTTTCTATAAATTCTCCGGGAACCGCTCACACTTTCCTTCATTATTGCTGCATCAGGAGTCAGTGACGGTGTTTTCTCTTTATTTTCTGTGTCTGGCCTGCCCAGCGCCCTTACTTCTAAACCTCAGCTGCTTCTACAAAACACTAGAACAGAAACAGAGATGCAAGTTAGCACTCGGAACGCTGGGGACAGAAAAGACAGGTCTGTTTTAAGCTATTGGATTTTATTGTTATATCATCACTTTCTTTTTTTGCTCAGATTTTAAAATCAGTATGTAATAGTCTCTTATGGATGGCAATACGCACTGATATTTTAAATGTCTTCTAAGAAAATTATATGAAAGGATAATCTTCTTGTTTAAATATCTGATTTCAAAAGGTTTTTCCAAATTCTGAAGTGGGATTTTATTTTGTCTTAGAGGATTTTTTAATTTCTTGAGAAACATGGGGACAGGACAAGCAGTCCGTACAGAAATGTGTGCGGACGGCTGCTTTTCATGGCGACCTAAGCATTCCTGTTCCAAGCAACTGACAGGCAAAGCAAAGCAGCGGTAAGAACTTGCATGTGTTTTCAATCAAAGGCGTTATTTCTGAAAGGTGAGCAGGCCCCAGGCAAGGGAAAAAGTGCATGCACATCAGGAAGCAAGAAGGAAGAGCCTACCTTTTGAACCTGATAGATCTATACAGGACAAAAGAAACGGAGAAAGAAATATAAAATCCAATTACAAAAGTAGAAACATCAGAGAGAAAGGTTCTGTAAATACTCAGATATGTGAATAAAAACTAGTAAAATATTAATTTAAAAAACTCTTGACGTCTCACTGAAATGCTTCATAATTTCATAACATTTTACATTCTATACGTTAGGTGTATTGGTGAAACACAGGCATTTCCATGTGTGTCTACAAGAACTGTGCTACCATTCTGATGCAGAAGTTTGTATAATCTGTTATCATTAGTGGGAAAAAGATATTCACCTTCAATTTAAAATTTCTTTTCACAGTGATAAAAGTTTAACAAAACAAAAGTACAGAAATTTATTTGGAAAGTCAACTGGTCAAATTCACAAATAGTGAAGAAACCTGCTTTTATGTTCTGATTCATGCAGACAGAAATAATACCAGGAAAATTCCAGCCAAATGGAATGATCACTAGACTGTAACTGAAAAAATTTTAAAACGCTTATTCTCATACCTGTTAGTCTGCTCCAGAGATTTCTCCTAATTTTGTAGTAAATCCCTGGGGAAGATGTACCTCCTTCATCCATTCATCCCCTCAATTCATCCATTCACTCCACAAAATTTTTACTGAATCAAGCATTGTTCAAGGCGTTGTCACAATGGTAAGACTTGAGACTTGGTGCTTCCAGTCTTATTTGGGTATGCATGGATGGATATATCCGACCCTGGGACTATATTAAATGTCGTACCTCCAACAATGTTTATCAGGTCAGTAGCAACAAAAGAGATGCATCCTGATTAATCATCGTATCACCTGGTCATCGTACTGCCATTTTTTCCCCATCAGTGTAGGTTCTCACACAAAGTGAAAGGTTCACTTGCATTTCCCAGAGTATCTACATATGCTCCTTAATGAGTCTATTAGAAAGGACTCATCCTTCTAAAACCCCTCAAAGCACAGCTAACACTGTTGGTTCTCGCCACCTGCAGGTGAGAAAAGCCATCCTGGAGAGTGTGGGGGCTGCTAGGGAGGCGTGGGCTGCCTGGGCGGTCTGAGGTCTGCAGCCAGCCCGCGGCCCCCTTGTCCTTGGGGTGGGCACGTGGCTCACCTCCCCGCTGTGTGCGCTCTCCATGCTGGCGTTGCAGGGTCCCAGGCACTGGTGTGGCTTCAACCACAACCCATCCCTGAAACCCGCCGATGGCGTCACTAGCTTCCTGCTCTCCTGAGCTCCCAGGGACAGTCACTGCTCTCCAGGCATTCACAGGCTCTGTCCGCCTGCAGGGCTGACCTCCTTGTCAAGGAAACCCCTGACCCTGCTTGGAAGCACCTGTGCAGAGGTGGGGTGGCTCGCCACCAGATGGAAACAGGGATGATGTTTCTCAATTTTTACACCAAAATATAAACCCTACTACTTAAACACTGGTCTTCCAAAGCATATTCATTTCCACTTATTCAACAACTTAAAATGCCAGTGCCCCAGGCTATCAGATTGTATAACCTCAAATTGTGGTGCTAGGTCTAAGAATAGCCAGGCCCAGCGATGTGATATGCAATGATATGCAAAGGGGAGGCTGAGGAGTGCTGCCTGCGCACCGTCCTCGGTCCTCAAAGCACAGCCCAAACCTGCAGGCTGGCCTCCCTCCTCCCTCCAGAGGCGCACACCCACGGGTGCACACGTGCTCCCTCCCCCAGCCCTGGGCACGGGTCCCGTCAAGAAACAGCCAGATGGGGGAGGGTCTAGCTCAGGGGTAGAGCGCATGTTGGCGGGCACGAGGTCCTGGGTTCAATCCCCAGTATAAGGAAGGAAGGAAGGAAGGGAGGAAGAAACGAAAAGAAAAGAAACAAAAAGAAAAGACAAGAGAAAGAAAGAGAAAGAAAGAAGGAAGAAAGAAAGAAAGAAAGAAAGAAAGAAAGAAAGAAAGAAAGAAAGAAAGAAAGAAAGAAAGAAAGAAAGAAAGAAAGAAAGAAAGAAAGAAAGAAAAAGAAAGCTCTTTTTTTCTGTCAGAGTCCCCCACAAAGTAAAATCTCACGAGTGCATGTATAAGAAAGAAACAGATGAACAGCTGCTGACTCCCTGTTCTCTGTCACCCTCTGGCTGACACAATGGCTCGTTCTGTGTTTATATATAGCGTGCCTGGAATCAGCAGCAGGGGAAAAACTGGTTTTTCCAGGTCTGCCTGCACTTGTAGAGTGCCGGGGCTCCGTGCACGCTCCGGTCCAGCCGAGCGCCCACGCTCTCAGCCGCCTCTAATCCCAGGGTAACACGCGGAGTCGGCCCCTTGGGTTGACTGTTGACTACATACATGATTTGGGGGCAGAAGGTGTACCAGGAAGGCCACAAGCTTTGCAGTTTTTTCAGTTCTAGATGTGAATCCTGGCTTGGCCCCTGGCCCCTTTCTCAGCTTCTGGGAAAACTGTCTAATCTGTCTAAAGTCTGTTTTTCTTACCGGTAGATAAACTCGGACAGATCCCCCCCACGGACTGTGCCAGTTCCCAGGCTCACGCTGCCACGTGCCAGGGGCTCCAGTGTGTCCCAGCCGACCCCCACGGCCCCACCCCAGTCCTCTTGGACTGTTAATAAAATAAACACCTATTTTATTATAAACCTTTCAAATCCCTTTTCTGAGGAAGCAGACATAAACTTTAGATGGCCATGCTCTCCTGTCCCAAAGATGCTAAATTTACAATAGCGAGTCTGTCCTCAGTGTGAATCGTTGCTGCGGGGCGAACAAATCAGTACAGCCCGCAAGCCAGGGCCCGGGCCTCCCTCTCCATCCTCCAGCCCTTCCGAGATCTGGCTCTCATCCCCCAGGACGCCTTCCTGCCCGGCCCGGCTCTCCCACTGGCAGCTTCTTCCTTCAGCGTCCACGCTCGCTGTGCTGAGCGGAGTTCGCGTCTCTGCTTCCTCCCTGACACGTGCAGGGCTCCCACCCGCGGTGTCATCCCCCACCCACGGTTCACAGCACGGGGCTGGGCCATCACGCATGTGGTCTGCTCCTGAGGGAGGGCTGAGTTCCGCCCAGAAGGCACCTTCCCTGTCTCCCTGCCTGTCGTGGGCTCACAGCAGGGAGGACGAGGCGTTCTAAGGAACTCGAATTGTGATGAAACATTTTCATTCCCATGAACCACCTCAGTGTCATACTGGTAGAATAAAGAACTCCAGAATTCTCACGCCACCTACCAACCAATCAAACGACACTTGTTTATCTGACCAAGGGAGGCAAACTGTGGCATTTTTTTATCTGGGTTCCCAGGGTTTAATCAGATTTTCTCTGCAAAGGCCAAGGTCCCTAACAGGCACCAGACACCCGAGGGCAGGCCGCGCAGCACAGGGGCTGGGCTTCAATCTCAGCTCCTGCGGGGCTGCGTTATTTCAGTCCTCGGGGCTCCGTTGCCCCGTGAGTGTGGCGGGGCTCCCAGGGTCTGGCCGTGCGGCGGGGGCTGGTGGGGGAGGACCTTCCACACAGTCACACCCCTGCTGACATCCAACGCCCATTTAATGATCCCAAATTAACTGGCCAGGACTTAGTTTCCTATCCTTGGGTAGCAAATGTGTTTTTGCTGCTCAAAATATTGCAACAAAAATGCACGAGTTCAGCAACAGGTTGCAGTCATGCTGCAGAATTAAAATGGAACAGAAGGGGACTTCCTTCGACTCAAAGGGAGAAAGGGGTGCTTTGCTTTTGAGGGAGGCCCATCGAATAATGGTTTCTTACTTAGCTTAGCTCCTCTCAACTTTCATTTTCTAAATTAAGAACTTCTGCCAAAGAACATTGTGAGTAATACTCTGGTTATGTTATCAACTATATATTTAATTCAATTCTGCCCATAATTAAAGACAGAATATATTGTAATTTGGAAGACAGACATATACACACATACCATATAATTCATTTTCACAGTGATTTTGTAGAAATTTTACCTTTGTATTTTTGGTGAAAGTTTCTCTTATTCGTGAGACGAATGATAAATGATTACTAACACCACCCTGAAAACCAAAGGCAGGCCCCCTGACAGGTTCACTGCCATCTCCTCCCAAGACCAGCTCCAACAGCAGAGCGGAGGAGACAGCCGCAGGCCAGCAGAAACACTCCCCAGCAGGGGAGGAAGGTGCAGAGTGGGAACTCAGTCAACTGTGGCAAAAATCTCGATGAGTAACAAAATGCTCTGGAAAACTCTTCCTATAGCGCTTTTCAGGCCTTGATATAAAAAAGACTGGGGGCTGCAGAAGTAGGCGAGCGTGGATGAGCCGCTGTGAGGGCGGGGCTGCCGGCGCCGGGGGCTGGAGGACGCAGCACCCCCACCCCTACCCCAAGCACTGTGACCCAGCAGCTGCCATAACCCCAGGCTTCCATGGCCGCTTGGCTTCCAGAGTGGGGAGGGGCTGGCTGCATCCTGCTCACACGGGGGCGGGGAGCTGGCAAGTATCTACTGAACGTACAGGAATCAGGGTGATTCCAAAACCCCAGGTGACAGCGGCTCAGACAGTGGGTGGCCAAAGGTCTACAAAACAACCGGATCCATCCCCTTCCTCCACCTCGCAGTGCAAGCACCTCTCCCCAGAGACTTTCCTGAAAACGTCTCTCAGCATGTCCTGTACTAATCACCCCTGGTCAGGTTCAAGTTCAGACCCCAGAGTTTGTTTACGGACGGGTATGAACCCTTAACTGAGGTGACAGGGGAGGGGAGGTGCTGCAGGTGCCTTAGGAGCTTTCAGCCCAAATGTAAAGTCCAAACAGAACATGGAAATTCAGGAATCTCTACCTTCAGTTTTAAAATGATGAATCTGATTCCAGGGGGGTAGTGGGGAGGGAATAAGAAAATGCCGAATCCATGCTTGAGTAAATTAAGAGGAAAAAAAGGCACAAAAAAATGAAAATATCATACTAATTCTAGAGGCGAAATATCATTAAAAACTAGAAGCTACAACCATGTGTGTATTTCCAGCAACGAGGAAGGACGTGCTGGTTGATCTACTTTCAAATGTTCGTTCAGCCTTCGTTCACGTAAACGCAGGACCAGTGATACTACATTCGGTGGAGGTGTGGCTACCGCCCCCCTGCTCGGGCCACTGCCCAACATCACTGCTGGTGTGCAGTGTGGCCTTTCGCCCAGGGACTGCGTCCCCTCCGTCCCCATCACTCCCTCCCGTCACTGGGACCGACGTATGGCTCTCCTGACTGATGTCCTGGGCTTGAGTTTCTAGTAATCCTCCACCCATTCTCTGAGGCACATGGAAGCGTGTTCATCCTCAGGCTCGAACCTGCCCATGCCCCTCCCCTGCGCACACACTTCCACGCAGGGTGGCAAACCGGGCAGGTGGGGGATGACCGCGAACCCTTCACCCCTTTGGAGCATGTGACCTTGGGAATACAGCAGAATCTGCAATGGCTTTAAGAGAACAGAGAAATACAGATTTTTATCTGAACCCTCACACATTTGAGAATGCTGGCTCAACTTTGAAAATCTGGCTCTGTGAACCATGCCAGACTCTGTAGGAAAACTAGCCCCAGGGAAGGCAGGTGGCTCTGTCTCTCCAACACAGACCGTTCACATCTTCTGACCAAGAGCCCTCCAGAGGGCCTGGCCTGCTGCTCCCAGACCCTGCGAGGGCCGGGCCACAGGAGGAGGCAGGGCCCACAGGCAGCGACTTACTTGCCACGGGGGCTTCAAGGTCACGGGAAAGCCCATCTCTCTCCCTGCGAGTGAAAGAGCCCTCACGCTGCCCACGTGGCTTCTGGCTAGAGCTCAAGACGGTGAAAATAAGTAGCAAAGAGCATGAACAGGTGTGTAAACACAACACTCTCCACCCTCCCAGGGGACGGTTTCTTCCCTGGCTGTTCCATCCAGTGTTTGCTCTGCTCTCTGTACCACAAACGAGCTTCAGGCCCCATGAAACCCATTAAAAAGTATAAAAACCAGAGGGGAAATACTTCTTAAATAAGACTGGTTAGTTTAAAAAGATAATAATCTTTGGGAGTTCGAGTCTGCGGAGACATACTATAAATAAGATAAACAGCAAGGTCCTACTGTAGAGCACAGGGAACTATATTCAATATCTTGTAGTGACCTATGATGGAGAACATATGAAAACGAACGCATGTGTGTGCATGGGTGACTGAAACTTTATGCTGCACACCAGAAACTGACACAACATTGTAAACTGACTACTTCAATTTAGAAAATGCAAAAAAAAAGGGATAATCTGTTCTTCCTTCACATTTTAATTCAGAGGATGGGGATTCTGGGTCAACAGTCAGAACCAGCCCCTCTTGGCTCCTTCGGCCAGAAGACTGGGCTGGGAAGACGGAGCAGCAAGTGGCTCTGTGCGGAGGCTCGTCCCAGGACCTGACGGGTCGCGTGTCCGGGACGGCACGTCTGGCATCTGGCTCAACGCTGAACCAAAGCCGCAGGTACGAGTGCCTCTGCAGCAACGTCTGACAGACAGGTGCCCCTGTGCTGGGATGCTCTGCCTACAGGAAACACCCCTGAGGGAAGAACCCCCGGGGAGCCCGCGTTACCTCCTTCTGCTGCCGCTCCAGCTCCTTCATCCTGATCTCTCGAGCCTCAGCCCTCGCCGCGCGCTTTGCCGCCAGCCTGGCCTCCGCCTGCAACAGACCCAGAGAGGGTATCAGAAGACAGACCAGCGGATCCTTCCCAGTACACGGTTAGCAATGCTGCTCTCGTTCGGAGGGTAACACGGATACAGTCACGCACCACAGATGCATCAGAGGTAAAAGGGCGGACGTCGCAGTTACAGTAACAATGATCACGACCTTCTGTGGAGCCCTTGCTAAGTGCCAAGTGGGCACTCTTCTGAGTGCGTCAGACACATTCTGCCACAGACACCTCGTAACAGCCCCACTGGGGAGACACTGTTCCCACACCCAGTCTATAGATGAGGGAACTAGGGCCCAGGGAGGGTAACTCACCCAAGGTCACACAGCCCCGACGTGGCAGGGCTGGGCAGTCTGCCCTCCTCTGGAGCCAAGACAGACGCCCAGAGCACAGCATCACAGCTGGGCAAGACCACGGGCCACCGGGCCCACCCCTCCCTTCACAGAGTGGGCAGCAGAGGCCTGGAGGGGCTCCCAGACCCACCCAAGGTCACAGGGCTGGGGCTCGGACCCTGCCATCCAGAACTCCTGTCCAGCCTCCCCTCCCTGCAGCCCGCTGCCCTCGGCTTCCCCGGCGGCTCCCGCAGTGCTGGGAAGCCCCGCTTTCCTCAAGATGTCTAAGACGGGGGTGGAGCGGTGCCAGGGGGGTGCCAGGTGGTAGAAATGTCACACTGGAACAAAGCCTGCCCCCCGAACTGCCTGTCAGCTTGCAGCTCACGTGCCACACTCTACTTGAGAGCATTTAAAGTGCCCGACCCGGACCCACCCACGCTGTGGGACCCGGCACTTGAGCCCCGATCCCCGTTCTGCCAACCTCGTGCTCCTTCACTATCGCAGGTGGCACAACAGCCCCAGACGTAAATGGTGCAAGTGGACCAGGCTGCAGGTCTCCTGGTGCCAGACAAATCCCTCTTCCTTCCCATTTCATTGTGTTTTTTGGAGTCAGAGGTAATTAGGTTTCCACTTATTTATATTTATTTAATGGAGGCGCTGGGGATTGAACCCAGGACCTCGTGCATGCTAAGCACGTGCTCTACCACTGAGCCACACCCTCCTCTCCACTTAATGTTTTATGGGAATATACTTGTAATTCTTCCAACAGTCCTGACAGCTTTCAGACATCTCACTGTTCTCTAGATAATCTCAAAACGGAGCCACCGGAGATGGCCAGCGTGCGTCTGCCGTGGTAGGCGGGGCCCGCGAGCAGTGAGGTGGCCCGAGCGTTTCACTGTCCAGTTTCTCCCCACGGGCTGGGCACCCTGCACCGCAGGCTCACATGGGGACAGCGGGTCCTGATGTCAAGGACGTCCCTCTCCCCAACCCCATAATCACATTGCATAGAATTACAGATTCATCTTCTTTCTAAATTCTAGTCTAAGTGGAAAAATGACCATCACTGATCTGACAGAGATGGGCTGGCTCATGTCCTTATAAGGAGTTCATTCTGTAAACTGCTTTGTTCACGCAGTTCCTCTATCAGCCCAAGCCTGGGTCCTTCCAATTAAGGGTGTCAAAAACCACAACTGTATCAGGACTTTGATACTTCATTGCCATTCTTGATTTTCTAAACCATGTTACATAGTGATGGGCCACTGGCTTAGGACCTAAAAAAGGTCCAGCCAGACCCGAGGGAGAGGAGGGGAAGGCTGGACAGACTGACATCTGGCCACATGGACTTCCTCCAGCCCCGTCCACGGGCCAGCAAGAGGCCTCTGTTCACAGTGAGTGTAGCTGCCTCCCCGCACTTCCTGGGGCTGGTGTGGGCGCCAAGCCTGTTGGCTCAGGGTCTAAGCCAGTGTAGACCAGGCAGCCACAGCCCAACAGCTTGCGGGGGCGGTGGCTGGGGAAAGAGAAGGGAGGGCGTAGAGGAAGAGTAAGGGGGCAGAGGAGTGAGAACGTAAGTAGGAAAGGGGCTGCCGGAGGAGGACGGGAGAGAGGAGTGTGGCAGGCAGACTTCCAGGGTGGTTCCCGAGAGTCCCGTCACTGACGCACATGCTCCACGTGCTCCTCTTCCCGAGTGTGGGCAGAACTGTGAGTGTGACGGACGTCACTCCTAAGACTGGGTTACATTCTATTGCCAAGAGAAAGGCACTCCAAATGAAGGTCTCTCATCAGCTGACTTTGAGTTAATAAAAAGACAGCTGATTCTGGGTGAGACTGACCTAATCAGGTGAGTCCCATAAAAGTGGGCCTGGAAGTCAGAGAGACTTTCCTGCTGGCTTTGCAAAAGCAAGCTGCCACATGTGAGAAGACCTGGGAGGGCCCATGTGACAAGGAATGTGGGGGCCTCTAAGAGCTGACGGCCCCCAGCTGACAGCAGGAAAAGGGACCTCAGTCCTACAACCATAAGGATGAGAATACCACCAAGGACCACGTGAGCAGGCAACAGGCCCCTGAGCCCCAGAAAGGATGCAGCCTGGCTGGCACCTTGACTGCAGCCCTGGAAGGCCCTGAGCAGGGGACCCAGGAGGCCGTGCCCAGACTTCAGACCCACAGAAACTGTGGAAGGATAAATGTGTGTTGTTTTACGTTGCTCCGTCAGTGGGTATGTGTTTTGCAGCAACAGAGAACTGACAGGAGGAGGTGAGGTCTGAGATGACTCCCGCTCACGCAGCATGAGTGTCTCTGTGACCTGAGGGAGCCCGGCACCTGCAAGCTGACTTCCTCCCCAGTCTGTCTGTTTAGCCCCAACCCTCCTCTGGCCCAGCTCTGTTTAGAACCGGGGCAAAGATCCCTGAAGAGACCACTTATCTGAGCATGTAGTCCCTGCCTCCTGGGGTGGCCTCTCCACCAGAATGGCAGGCCTCCAAAACCACGTCGAGTCAGAGCCCAGCTACCCTGGTGGGCCTCCCTCCCTCCAGGAAAAGGCTCCCATCACTGCCACTCCTCCTGGTTCTCATGTCCACCCAGTATGTCTGTCATGTCCACAAGGACAAGCCTTGATCTGAGGGACCTGGGCTTGGGTTGACAAAGGAACCACACGAATGAGCCAAGTCATAGGACAAACTCCTTATGAGGACTCGAGCCTGCCAACCTTGAAGACAGGTCAACCGCGGTCAGTCTTCACCCCAGATTAGCATTTGAAGGAAATAAATAATTCAGTGCAGTTCAGATGCCTGTAACCGTCACCACAGGCAGCACCTACATCTCACAGGGTTCCTGTATGACTCACACGTGGAGAACGGGCTCTCATGACACAGGAAGTGGTAACAACCAGGCTTGCTTCTGGGACTCTGGCTAAAAGTCAACGGATGCATGGAGCAACATTCAAAGTGGCACAAAGCCCACGCGGGGCCACCTTCATCAGCACAACTCTAGTATCAGCAGAGCAGCCCTGACACAGGCGGGACGCCTGAAAGAAAAACCACATGCAGTTCTGACAACACCATACACCCTAAAACACGGATGTTGCCAAGAGCACGGAACAGCGAGACACAGAGCATCACGGATCATGATCATTAAGAGAGCAACAGAGGAAGCGTTTGATAAGATCAAGTCATTAAATGAACAAAAAATCCAGGGTAGCTGTGGCCCACCATGCTGGTCTGCAGGCGCAAGTTCATCCCCCCCCATCTCGTGGGAGGCGCAGCCCTGCCCTCTGGTTGCCAACTGCTAGGGAGCAGTTCTGGGGCTCGGTGTGCCCCTGGCCAGGGCTTTGGTGTGCAGGACAAACCCATCTCGGACTGGCACTTTTGTAAAGTATAAACTCACGTGGTTGAGGTCACCACCGTGTCAGATTGTTTGAGTTTCCAAACGCATACTTCCACCTTCCGCTCCTCACCTGCAGGGGACTGCAGCTTCCTGGCCGCCACCAGGCAGGCCGCCCCTCCAGGCCATGTGGCCTCGGTGCTGCAGAGACAGGTGGGGAGGGACTTTCAAAGTGCAGTTTAGGGCCCCAGCCTCAGGGGGTGCACACAAAGCAATCGGGGACCGTGTTCGAGTGACAAGGGCTACGGGGGGGGGGGAGAACACGTGCGGGGGCTGCGTCGGAGGAGAACGTAACCCATCCCGGGTGTCCTGAAGGCTTCCCGGAGGACGGAAGCCCTAAGCCAACCCCTGAAGAGCTAAGAGGACGAAGCCAGAACAAGGGGCAGATGACGAGGGGGAGCGGTCCCGAGGGCCTGGGATCCGGAACCTCATACTGAAGGAACGTGAAACGGCTGAAGGGTGTTAAGGAGGAACACAGCGGGGTCTGTTTTAGAAACACGGCTCCGGCTGAAATGTGGGGAGCCAGGGTGGGGCGGGGGGAGACCCAGGAAGTGAGAGCTGCTTCTGAGTGAGGGAGCCTGGGAAGACGAGCGGGTGCAGAGGCAGGAGCACGTGCAAGGGGGGAGGCGCGAGGACACTGCAAGGAGCATCAGGTGTCCAGAGAAGGAGGCTCCTGTGGTCCCAGGAGCCAGAGAACCTGGAGGAGAGCCCCGCGCAGGTGCGTGTGCCCCAGGATGCGCACCCAAACCTAAGCCCACCCACGTGGATCTGCTGACACCTCCGGCCTCAAAGGCCCCGGGTTTGGAGTTGGGGCATTTCTCCACCGCGACCCCCTCCCCGCCAAGCTCTCAACCCCGAGGGAGATGACAATGGCGAAGGGAAAGGAGGGACAAAAGTAGGCGGACTTATGGAATTTAAGATGCAGAAGAGCAACTGCCCAGGTTTGGGATCCAGGACTGCACATGCTCCCCACGGCCATCAACCGTCCCCCTCCAGCTCCCCCTGGAGGTCAAGGTTGGGGGGTCCTCCACTGGGCACTGAGCCCCAGGCCTGCTCCTGTGACCTCAAGGCAGCACTCCCTCCCCCCTGACCCCCCACAACTTGGTGTGGGGCCATGGTCTCCAGCTCTCTCCCCTCCCTACAGGAACCAAATGGAAAGGTGGCTGCAGGCCTGCAGCTCCACCCTTAGTCCACTGTCCTCTGCGGGAAGGGGGACCCTGGAACAGGTGGGGCTCTGGACCCCAATCCTCGCTCCTCTGCCCAATACCACTTTGTTGAGTCAC